AGTTCTGCTGTAGGGCAGTTGGGCAGTGGTTAAAATGTATACCGGAATGTGAAAACTAGTTTGCACCTTACTATATGAATTTACTGTGTTACGATCTGTGCATCAGAAGATTACTAGTTTTTCTGCTTTGGAGTGATGCAGCTAAGTGTTATTTGTCCTTGTCAATGCACTGTACATGGCATATGTTATACCAGCCTTTCTCAGCCTTTTCAACACAGAGGAACCCTTGAAATAACTTTCTGGTCTCAGGGAACCCCTGTTTAAAATTACTATATCTACAACTCATGATACATTTATTGTGATGATAAAAATTGTCAATATGGTGTGATAGTTGCAGGGTGGGCTTAGACAAACTACATGGATGGAAAGCACAGTCCAAATCCTGAGGACAAAACCTATGGCTTTAGGGATCACTGAAGAATCCAATCCAGCACATTAAATGCAGCACTTCTGAGAGACTGAAGACATCTTTTGGTGGCAAACAGAAAAAAGTGCACAGACTAAGGCAGAGCCGTAGATTAATTGATTTGACTGTGTTGATGGGGAAATGTGTCCCGCAGAACTATTGTGTTCTGCCGGCACGGGGGGGGGGGGGGGGGGGGGAGTCTTCTGGGTTGGGAGAACATAATGATTACTGCTAGCTGCTGTAGCCTCAGGCAGTAATCGCATGCTAATAATCTGACAGGCTGGTTGTACCCAAGTCAATTGATGGATCGACTTGGGTACACTCAGCTTGCCCGTAGATGGATTCAATCTCGGCCGGTCTCTGCTGAACTGGTCAAGACTCGATCCTTATATGTCCGACTTTAGTGTAGTGGGTGTATAAATATTTATTGAAGAAAGACAATTAGCAACTCACATGAAGTAAAACAAATTATGCTTATCGTGGTTCTCAAAGATGGTGAATCCCTTTGAAAACAATGCTGAGCATAATTTGTTTTACTTCATCCGAGTTGCTAATTGCCTTCCTTTAATAAATGTTAATGCACTCACTGCACTTAGTCTGTGCACATTGCTCTATTTGTCTGTTTACATTAGTGGGATGGTCAGTGGGAAGAATGCTCCCTACACTTGAGGACATTGGGAATAATTACCCCCTTGCAGATAGCTAAAAAGATCAGTGGAGTCAGTGGGAACTTATCTGAGTGGTAAAAATTGCTCATTGCTCAAGGAATCCTTAGCAACCTATGGAGGAACCCTTGTTAAAAAACCCTGTGTTATACAGTGCAACTTGAAAATTTTATTGTATTTGCCGGTTAAATTGTTGCTTTTTGACATGTAGAATTTCACTGTTTAGTTACACACAGAAAAATATTTTGTGTGTTTTACCTATCACATCACTATTGTCTGCTTCTCATTCCACCTTTAGCTCTTTTCCAACACTCGTCCATTTATTGGATTCAACCGATTTGAGGACTTTCAGGCTATAATTAGTACTCCCCCTGTTCAGCAGCAGGTAAGACAAAAATCAGTGTATAGTATTTGTGATGCCTTGCCCTTTTACCTTTATTATATTGTTCGTCTTTTGTATCTTCTTCATAATCAGGCTCCAAATCTTGTGGAGGAGGAAGAGGAAGATGAAGATGCTGAAGAGCTGGGGCATACTGAGACCTATGCAGATTATGTGCCTTCTAAGTGTAAGCATAGCATTTCATTTGTTTGGTAGCTTATAAATAGCATCGCTGGCCTAAATTTGCTTACTCTCCCTGCACATAGCCTTAGTTTATGTTGTAAAAAGCCTTCAGACCATAAGAGATTTTTTTTCATTAAATATGCGCAATAAAATTTGCTGACTTATCCCATTCTCAAAACTAAAAAAAAATATTACATATTTAATTAACTCAATCTTTACCTCCTTGTGCTCAATATATATGTCTCATGTTACTAGTTTTAAGAATATGATCCAGTCTTATTAACATGTGACATTTTTTAATGGATTTGAGATTTTGATATTGTCAAAGAAGGTGTTGAGTGAGTTTGTTTGGATTCTTTTGAGTAGAATTGACATTTGCAGCTGTGGTTTTTTTTTCTTTTTATCTGAGGAGGTATGCAAAAACAAAAACCTGATAAGTGTACAAAAAGATGCAAGTGCAAAAACACCAATACAGAAAAGTTCATTTAGGGGTGTGCTTTTAGTCCACTCCCCGAAAGGGTAGGATCTCTACCCTGATCCCCCGGGGCTCAAGGCTCCTTACAGTGACAAAGGGTTTTCCAACATGGTCCACCTGGCCAAAAGGCCTGGCGGACCCCTTTCCTTGTGATCAGCCAAAGCCGACCACCAACTGTTTGGTGGAGGGGCTCTCCCAAAGAGAGACCCCCTAGGTATCGGGGTAGGAAGGAACCTAAGGGCCACACATCCTCCCCCTAGACGTCAGGGCAGGCCCGAGGACCTACACTCTCCATCCAGTGAGAAAAAAAACACACACATAACTGAAAGTGAGACAAACTTGAGGAGAAAAAAATAGATAAAATAATTAAGTGGCGGTGCAATTGTGCACGGCTAGGCCCTGAGGACTGTAGCAATAAATTTGCCCTGGACTTAGCCAAAAGGCCTAGCCCTAAAAAGGCGCAGTGCAGAAAAAGTGTTTGAAACAGTGACCTTGTGCACTTTTCACACGTGGGATCCCATCCCCATGTGTTACTAAGAGCACCCCTGGGGCAACCAATCCTGGGTGGCACTGCTCTGTAGACTCTCTGCTTTCCCGGCCCCTGGCCAGAGAATGTAGACCCATTCAGATCAAGAGGAACTGGGCCCATCAAGTTTTCCCGGGGGAATTACTCCTGGGCTCCAACAACCTGTGGACATCTCGGTTTCTGTTCCAACCGGTACTAGCCTTCAGAGCCCCCATCATACCAGCAGGGATACTATACAGCCAGCCATCCTCGTAAAAAGGCAAGAATGATGGTGGAGCACCTCTACTAGACACTGATAAGAACAGATTGTCTTTTCAAATATAGGCACTGGATTGACCTTGTGCCAATCTAATGGCACCAAGCCAGTCAATAAAGAGGCTTTAAAAATGAGAAACAATGGCTTTGAAATAACAACCCTTAACTATTTGAGGACACTTGGGTGTACACCATATGGCCCAGGCACTTTTATTCACCTTGTTTAAATGTTCCTGGGCTATACCAATGTATAGCCATTGGGGTTCTTTTGGAAGCTATGTCAGTACTATCCCCAATATGAACTTGGACCCTGGACATTGCCTTCTCGTTGTCCCCAGTCTGTAACTCTAAATTATCTTGTAAAGGCATTCTCAGACCTAAGCTTTTTACTATTTTAATATATTTGAAGAATTTTTGGAGGTTTGTCCTATTCTTAACTCTGTTGACCACCTGTTCAGTCAGCAGAAGACTCCTTTCAAGGTTGTCTGTTGATTTAGCAATTATTTTGTCGTTATTCAATAATACACTCATCTATTCTTTTTGTGCCAGGTAAGGCTTTCTTTTTGTCTTACTGTCTTGAAAAATATATTTTTTTCTTTGTTGTACCATACAGGGCACAGGATCTTTAGTTTCCAACCATTGGTTGTATACAACTATCTCCAGGTGACTGGAAAAAAAATGAAGGAAAAGGGAAATTCTTTAGAACGCCTCCCTCTCCCAGCTATCCTCTGTTCTTTTGCTAGTGTTATTAGGTGATCGACTTCTCTTCTCTCTAAGAAGCTTACTTCATTTCCATGGAGATTTTTTCCTCTAAGATGGTTCACCTATCAAGATTTCTGGCTGCACTATAGCCACTGGGGCTCCTTCTGCAGCTTCCTGATCAGTTGACTCTTTTGCATGTTCTGTGTTAAGAAACTAAAGATCCTGTGTTCTGTACTGTACAACTAAGAAAACACATACTTGCCAGTAAGGCTCTGTTCACACCAATATGTGTTTTAGTGTTTTTTGCAGAAACGCACTACAGTTCATTTAACATGGTTTGCTATGGAACATGTTTGCATCTATGCTTTTTTGAGCTGCTGTGTTTTTGGAAAGGGTGTGGGACTTTTTTAAAAGAAAAAAGTACCGTATTTGCTACAATAGATTTCAGTGGATAATCTGCTGAAATGCATGGTAGTGTGTTTTTACTGCGTCTTTGCCATGTCTTTGCCGCGTTTTGCATTTATATTGTGCCCAGCAACAACAACAAAAATTCCACTTAAAAAAAAAAAAAAAAAAAAAAAAGTTGAACAAAACACAAAACGAGGTAAAAACAGTTTTTGTAAAGGGTCAGGTACTTTTTTAAAAGCAAAAAGCAGCATTTTTTCTACAATAGATTTCACTGGAGAATCTGCTGAAATGCATGGTAGTGTGTTTTTGCCACGTTTTGCATTTTGAATTTTTATTCTGCCCAGCAAAAAAAAATTTCCACTTTAAAAAAAAAAAAAAAAAACTGACCAAAACGCGGTAAAAACACATCAAAAATGTGTGTAGAAAAACGCAAAATGAACTGCGAAAAGCAAACTGCATAGGTGTGAACGGAGCCTTTTATCCTTTTTTTTGGAGCACAATACACGGTTTCATCCCCTCCCTTCTTTATTATCTGGCTTGATACAAAGCTGAGGCTAGGTGGAAGGGGTTATTTAGGTGATGTCCCTGCAGGTTTTATTTTAACCAGTGTCTAATCACTAGACAGTAACTGCATATGACCCATGGTTAAGACTAAGGATCCTGTAAAGATTCTGTGTTCTGTACTGTCCCCTACCTTTGGGCAGATTTCCTTTCACATCCTCTTGCATCTTTAGGACAGGAAGTCAAGGAAAAACTCTACAGTAGGACACCATTGGGGGGGGGGGGGGGGAAAAAAACATGAAATAGGCTTTCACTCTTCCCCACTCGTTTCAAAACAAACAAACATAAGTTTAGTCTTTACATACTTTTTAAAAATTGACTTTTTATAACCCATTTGTGTTTTTTCTGTTGCTTTGAGATATTTTACATATACTTTTTCCTATTTTCTTTTAGCTAAAATTGGCATACAACACCCTGATCGTGTAGTGGAGACTAGCACTTTGTCCAGCGTCCCCCCTCCAGATGTCACCTATACTTTGTCTCTCCCCAGTTCTATCATTGACAGGGGACTGCTTTCTGCTTTGCAGCTTGAAGCTATTGTATATGCTTGCCAGGTAAGAATAAGAGCTACACAGACAACAGGATTTGTCTTTTTTACTACATTGTTCTTAATATCCTTGTGTGCTCCACTGTGTTCCTCAGCAACATGAAGTAATCCTACCTAGCAGACAGAGAGCTGGATTTCTGGTTGGAGATGGTGCTGGTGTCGGAAAGGGGCGTACTGTTGCTGGCATTATTCTGGAGAATTACCTGAGGGGAAGAAAGAAAGCTCTGTGGTAAGATCTGCACTTTTTTGCATTCCATTGCTTCTTGTTAAGTTGCAGATGTTGAAGTTTTTATTGGTTAACTACAATCACACATTATCTGGTGGTTAGTTTCCTTTTAGAGTTCCAATGTTGTCTCTATGCTACTACTCTCTAGTCAAGCCCACTGGCAGTATAGATATTTGAGACCTTATTGAAGTGGATGTTTTGTAAATGTAGTATTTATTTTATATAGCTAAATGTACTGCTTCATTTCACCACTCTTGATATTTTTCTGCATGCTTGAGTGTCTTCACATATTTTTACAAATTTTTTTTTATTTCACAGGTTTAGTGTATCCAATGACCTGCGCTGTGATGCAGAGCGAGATCTACGTGACATTGATGCCAGTTGTATTCCAGTTCATGCCCTAAGCAAGGTGAGCCAGCCAGTCATCATTATGAAACATGTAATTTGTATACACTGATTTGGCTGTATAATGTATACCATTTGAGTGTTTAAAATGTAAATATGAGTTATTTTTTTCTATTTAAATTGTCGATAAAGCTTTCAAGTCCAATATTTCATTGTTAGAGACACACTGGCAAGCTGATTCACCTACTAACTTTTATCTAAAAGAGTCTGGTGTCCAGATCTCTGCATATGAGTTCTCATGTACCCAACTGCTGTGACCCTGGCAACCCAGATACAGAGATATACTGATACTATATACATTTAAGCTGAATGACAGCCAATAATGTGTTCATTAAACTGTTTTCCTGCCGCCCTATAGCAGATATACTGCTACAGGGCAGCAGGGGTGCACAAAATCACGTGTATATATATACGTGATTTTCCATTTCCGGCTAGGGGGCGCATGCGAACCTTACCCATGCCGCTATTCGTGGCCTCGGCTGTCAAGCACCGGGTCCAAGCTTGTGATTACTCGCCGGCACCCAGTGATCAAGGAGTATTACCGACGGAGGGAGAGAACTGGATGTAAAAAAATACAGTTCTCTCCCGTCAGCTCCTGCACACTGCTTTGCATGGCTCAAAAGCAGTTTGCTTACAGTTGAAAAACACACACAGCACATAATGTGAAACAGCACACAGTTAACCCTTTGATCACACCACATGTTAACCCCTTCCTGCCCAGTGCCATTAGTACAGTGTCAGTGCTTTTTATTAGAACTGATCATTGTATTGGTGTCACTGGGGATGTCAGTGACACCATGTTAGTTCCACCCAGTGTCAGAATGTCTGCCACAGGCCTGCTATAAGTCGCTGACCGCCGCCATTACTAGTAAAAATTAAAAACAAAAATAGTATATATATTGCCATTTGTAAATGCTATAACTTTCACATAAACCAATTAATTTACACATATTGGGATTTTTTTTTTTTTTTATCAAAGACATGCAGCAGAATACATTTTGGTGTAAATTTGACGAAATCTGATTTTTTTTTCTTTTTAATTTTTACTGGACGTTTAATAGCAAAAAGTCAAAAATATAGTTTTTTTTCTCCAAATTGTCAGTCTTTTTTTTTTAATAGAGCAAAAAATAAAAAATGCACAGTCATTCAAATACTACCGAAAGAAAGCTCTATTCTTGGGGGAAAAAAGGACAGAAATTTAATTTGGGTGCAGCGTTGCATGACTGCACAATTGTCAGTTAAAATAACGCAGCGCCGTAACGCAAAAAATGGCCTGGTCAGGAAGGGGTGTAAATCCTTAGGCGGGCAAGTGGTTAAAGATATTTCAATAGGTACAAATGATATACTGTACATCTATTTTGTATGGACAAAGTGAATTTGCTAGCACAAATATTACTATGTAAAAGTAGTGGTCATGTCATCCCTAGGCTTCACATAGCCTATACAGCGAGCAGAGCTGTGGGTAGTATCCTCCAGCAGCCTTCCTAGGGATGTGTGCTGATTTGGAAAACAAAACTGCATTCCCTGTAATTCCCTCCCCCATATTTATTAGGAGAAAAGATTTAATTGGCAGCATTATTGTGAAAAAACATCGTAATTAGGTTTGCACTTGTGTACCCTGTGAAAAGTCCCAACTGAAACCTTAACCTGATGGAAATAATACATATAAAGTTATAGTTGTGTTTTTTTTAATGTACAGTTTTTGACAATGGAATTTAGGTAGACATGCAATAATCAACACCTATAACACTCTGAAATATCTTTATTGGAGTTTACCTTTTCAGGATGTAAGTTCATTATAGCGCTGTCTTATGAATAGCTAGCCTTCTGTATTTTTGCAGATCAAATATGGAGACACATCTGCCTCTGAAGGTGTCTTATTTGCCACTTATTCAGCACTTATTGGTGAGAGCCAAGCTGGAGGTCAACACCGTACACGAATTAAACAAATACGAGACTGGTGTGGTGAGAATTTTGATGGAGTGGTATCCTTTATACACAAGTACTCATATACTCTTATGACCCCAATAGGATAAACTGATGCTAAGTAAATAATAAATTCCGTTTAACCGCTTCCCAACCCCCTATAGCAGAAATACTGCTACAGGGCAGCACGAGTGCGCAAAATCACGTGTATACATATGTGATTGTGCATTTCCGGGTAGGGGGGCGCACGTGAGCCGCGCTCGTGCCCTATCCGCGCCGCCATTCAACTGTCAGTCACTGGATCCAATCCGATTTCCGAGGATCTCCGATGGAAAGGACAACTGTTTTTTTTTTTTTTTTTTTTTTTTTGTTTTGTTTTTTTTAGCACTGATCACTGTATTGGTTTCACTGAAGATATCAGTGACACCAATGATAGAAACAATGGTGAAGCGCTAGCAATATAATACAGATATAAATGACATAAACAGTACATATAAAACCGCAAAAAATAAATGATGCATAAAAGTGCAGTGAACATACAAAGTGATGATCCGATCGGATCTAATGAGGTGCTGCAAGAAGTGGAACAGGTAGACCTGTAACTATAAACGTGAACCCTTTTCCAAATGGAAAAACAATAAGCAAACCAACCTCCCCCTGTCCACATAGGGGACTGATAGTAAATATATAAGTGACCCCTCAGGAGGTGAGGGAGCATTTCTGCCATTCAGGATTCCTATCACCCAGTTTGGAGATCACCCATCACAAGCACCCACGTGTTTTGCTTGCAGTTTTTCTGGGTTTTGGGACTTTATATTTTATATGTGCACCTGTGCGTTGAAATATAGTGCTGTCTGGACATCTATGGTTTTTGCATGTGCATTCATTATGATCTGCGGGAGAGATTCCACTATTTAATATTGCATTGGCCACAGTTGCTGTGTCTTTACCCCCTGTGGGGTCACTTATATATTTACTATCAGTCCCCTATGTGGACAGGGGGAGGTTGGTTTGCTTATTTTTTTTCCATTTGGAAAAGGGTTCACGTTTATAGTTACAGGTCTACCTGTTCCACTTCTTGCAGCACCTCATTAGATCCGATCGTATCATCACTTTGTATGTTCACTTCACTTTTATGCATCATTTATTTTTTGCTGTTTTATGTACTCTTTATGTCATTTATATCTGTATTACATTGCTAGCGCTTCACCAATGTTTCTATCATTACTTTTTACCTAGTGAAGTCAGGTGTCCACACATGTTACAATTCAGTCATAACTGTGGAACTGTGCTATAGCAGGTTTGAATCACTCTCTATCAAATGTTCCTCAGAGCTGCTTCAGATAAGAAGCATATGATACAGGTTAGAAAATGTTTGATCTTGTTCTATGATGTTGCTTGTGTGCTATATCAGGCAATGTTGTTTTCTTGCTAATGTATTCTTTTGCACCACTTGACCAAAAACTGATCAAGGATCAATGTCTAAAAAGATGCATATAAGCAGCTATGAAAGTGTGTGTGTCTGTCTGTCAAGCTCACTGGGTACATATTTTCTTCTGTTTCTTCCTTGACCTTTTGCTTTCATAGATTGTGTTCGATGAATGTCACAAAGCCAAGAATGCCTCCTGCACCAAAATGGGTCGTGCAGTACTAGAGCTACAGAACAATTTACCTTTGGCACGAGTGGTATATGCAAGTGCCACAGGTGTGTTGTATTCTCTTTTTCCCATTATTTATATAATATTACATGAGCCAACTCGTACACACTTTCTGGTGCAACTCAAGTCCATATTTTTCACTGAATAGCTTCACTTTCCTTGTAACTCTATTATCACAGGTGCATCCGAGCCCAAGAATATGATCTATATGAGTCGGTTGGGTATCTGGGGAGAGGGCACGTCTTTTAGCACTTTTGATGAGTTCTTGCACGCTATTGAGAAAAGGTATTCTCTTCACAGAACTTTGCTTAGTAGTTTGTGCATTGGGTGACTTAAATCTATAGCTTTTTGTCAAATACCGTGAATATTTTTGCTTTTGATTTTAGTATAAAATTCTGTTTTGCTCTTTGTTTTGTTATGACGGATTTCGACTTTTTTTTTTCAGGGGTGTGGGTGCCATGGAGATAGTTGCCATGGATATGAAAGTGAGCGGCATGTACATTGCAAGACAGCTGAGCTTCTCAGGTGTCAACTTCAGAATTGAGGAAATCCCCTTAGATGAATCTTATAAACAGATGTATAACCGAGCAGCCCAGCTGGTAAGAATCAGTTAAATATGACATTGTTGGATGAACCAAGCATCAAAATTGTCTCAGTAAGGGCGGCTTCAAACTGCCCCCCTGCACTTTTGCTGAAGTGCAGCTTACCCACAGGTTTCTTGCAGGTTAGCTACACTTTCCCATACACTTCCATGAGGTCCTGTGGTTTTGTTGCGGCACCAAAACTCCGACATGCTACAGCTTTGACGCGCTTTCTGAAAATGTACCAAAACTGTGGGATAGCATAGAAGTCTATGGGAAAGCACAGCTAACCCACTCTAAATCCGCAGGTTAGTGGCACTTTGCCCAAAGCACAGTGGGACCACGCCGGGGCAATGTGAAGCCGCGCTAACAGTGGCAACATTTTTTCCTGTTGTCTTCAAGGACAGCTCTGAAGAGAGGACTCTTCCCACTTAAAGTGATGTTAACCACCTCCCGTCTGGACGTTGTATATAAATGGCCGGACGGTGGCAGTGCAGGGTCGGGTGGCCGTTTATAAATGGCCTCCCCGCACCCTGCTTGTGCGCACTCTCTGGGAGCGCGCAGCACCACGATCCGGTGCCCGCTGTGTCCTCAGGACACAGTGGAACACCGATCGTCGGACGGGACCTCCCGATCATGTGATCACTGATTGGCCAATCAGTGATCACATGCAGTGTAGTAAGCAGATGTCACGTGTGACATCATTGCTTACTACGTGTGAAATCTGTGAATGATCACAGAGGTCACATGGTACAAGGCTATTCACAACAGCCTTGTACCATGTGACAAGCTGTGACCAATCACACTCACTCAGTAGTTCTCAATGGCTGCAAGAATGCAGCTAGAGAGAAGGAGAAATGATTGCTTTTACATCCTTTATGGGTGTAAAAGCAATCAGTGAAAAAAAAAAAATCTTCATCACCCCCCACAAGTAGTACAGTGTCACTATGGTGACCCACTCTTTTCTGAGTGCCCCCATAGCAAGTCCTGTGTTGTTGTGGCACTCGTGCAGGTGCATTCCCAAATCAGGGCTCGTTCACACCATGGTGCTGATACGTCAGTTTTCCTGCATGTATTCTGCAAGGGCACAACTAAATCAGTTGCTCTCTATGTGCTCTGTTTCACATCACAATACTGGTATCACTTGTAGATTTTTTTCTGTGCAGGAATCTGCAATGTATATAAAAACTCATTGAAACGTGCATGAAAACTGATGTAAATGGATGTCTCTGCAAGTGTAATCTCTGTGTCAGTTTAGATTAGTTTTTCTCCACGTATGGTGTGAATGAGACCTTAGGCTTTGTGCGTCCATACACAGCACATCTTGGCCCCCTCGTTGCTTCCTTATTGGATTTAACGGACAGCAGCAGGAACCAGTTGCTCCCACTGTTCTCAGTGAAGCCTGTGGGAAGAGGTGAGAGAAGAGCTGCAGCTCGACACAGTGCTGAATAGATACAGGACGCAGGTGTTTAGAGAGGGTGGGAAATCGTTAATGGGGTGTTTTTACCTTAATGCAGAGAATGTTAAACGTAAAGAGCACAATTTTAGAAACATTTTAAAGTGAGGTAAACTGTGCATCCCTGCATTAGGGTAAAAAAGATTTTGCAACTTGCTATGACCCCTCCACCTGCCTAAATACTTACCTGAGTCCTCAATCAATCCAGTGCTGTGTACGGCTGCATTTCTTCTCTCGCTCTATTCCCAGGGACTGAGATAGCGGTGGGAGCCACTGGCTAACGCTGCTGTTAATCAGATGCTGTGAGGAGGGAGCGGGGTTGGAGCCGAGCTGTGCTGTGTGTGTGTGTCTGTGGACGCACACAGCCCGGCTTGGGATCGAGCTTGTGCATCTGCGCCATAGCAAAAGGTTTATGTGGCAGACAGTGAAGAGGAGGAGTGGGAAGCACCTGGGGGGGGGGGGGGGGGGACTGAAGAGGAGGTCCAGGGCTGCTCTGTGCAATACCATTGCACAGTGCAGGTTACGACAGTCATACTTTAGTCGAAAAATTGTTGAACGTGTTCTAGAAAACCAAACACACAATTGTGAGAGCATGCAATATTGCCATCATGTTATGGCAAATTTTCAAACAATAAATTGTTCAGTGGATATAAATGAATCAGTTTTTCCATTTGTTTTGTCACATACAGTACAAACAGTTTGATTTTTAATGGGCGAGAGACACATTCAGTTTATTGTCTGTTGAGCAGACGTTTTCCAAACATTTCCTTCTATATTTTTTTTGGCTCAGAAACGTTACTACCGATTTTTAATTTGTGCCAATTAGCTGGGTGAAAAACGACAAATGACAGCTTTTCAAACATTTTTTCATCTGGTGTATTGGCACCATAAGTATAATATATTTAGTATTTTGATTTAAAAAAAATTGAATTTAGAAACGCTTTAAGGGCCGGTTCACACTATAGAAACGCAGTCCGGATGCGTTTCTGCATGTGCGTTTTTGTCACGTTCCGGTGCATTTTTGATGCTTCCGAGTTCATTTTTTTCTTTTTCTTTAATTTAAATAGGGACATGTGTGTTCCAGTGCATTTTTGGTGTGTGCAATTTATATGCGTTTTTTTCCGCTTTCCAGTACAGTTCTGTGCAAGAAAAATGCAACCTGTTCTACTTTTTTTTTTTTTCTGGAACTGAGAGCACTGATGTGAACTATGACATTGACAACCATTTTGGATGCAGAAAAAACAGCAACTGAAACACATGTAGTGTAAACTGGCCCTAAGGCCAAGGGAGTCAGACATTGCTTTAGTATAGCATAAGACCATACTGGAGCATTAGCGCTCCATGCACACTAGCATTTTTTTAAGCTCCTAGAATCTATTATGAACATTTTTTTTCTGTTGCTAGAAGCTGCAATAGTGTTATCCTATATGTCCACACACACTATTTTATGCAGGAAGTGTTTTTCAAGCTTCAGCGTTTGGGAGAAGAAAAAAATTTTTTGTAGCGTTTTTAGGAGCATTTTCCCATCAGAAAAAAATGCTGAACGCTCCTAAATGCTACTAAACAGCACCTAACAGCTTTTTTGGGCTTTTTTTTTTTCTCTTCATGTACTGTAAAAATGCTAATAAAACAGTAACGCTTCTAAACGCTACTAAAACGCTGCTACAAGCCAGCACAAAAACATGATTATCAGCGTTTTTCATCCAGAGTTTTTTTTCTAGTGCTTTTTTTAGCTTAATAAAAATAACTAGTGTGCATGAAGCGTAAGGACTTTGTGAGTTGCTATCTGTAGTTTGGGAATTGTGTAGTTATTATGAAAGATAAAGACATGCTACTGTGGAGCTTGTAGGGGGATTCGTTGCTTGTAACATTCATAGCCCTTGGAATGCTTTTGTGGGATGTAGTTATTTTGGTGTATATCATGTTTCACAATGTGATATTCTGAACTCTTGATGACATTCATTGTAATTATCATTGTTATCTGTTTTTAGTGGGCGGAAGCACTGACTGTTTTCCAGACGGCGGCTGATTGGCTAGGATTGGAATCTCGGAAATCTCTTTGGGCTCAGTTCTGGTCATCTCATCAGAGATTCTTTAAGTACTTGTGTATAGCTGCTAAAGTTCAGCGGCTGGTTACGTTGGCTCACCAGGAGCTTTCCAAAGGCAAGGTTAGTAAATGTGAAACAATTTTAAATGTAAATCTAAATTTAATCAAATATAAGTTTTTTGCTTTCTCTGTTGTCTGTTATGCAATGAAATCCAGACTGCTAACACATTCACCTGTAATTAAATTATCCTTCCTGCTTCCTTCCTGAGGGATTTGACAGCAGTCAGCTGGGACTAAGTTGGGTCATGTAGGCTCTATTAAATCCTGTGTGTATGCCATTGTAAATGCATGTTGACAGTTGCATGTATGGCAGTGTGAGTTTCTTCTCCTCTTCTGTGTATGTTGCACTTGCTATGGGGACAGACGTGCAGGCATTCTGTATGCATCTGTTGACACACACTGGGGTTAATTTACTAACACTGGAGAGTGCAACATTTGGTGCAACTGTGCATGGTAGCCAATCGGCTCCTAACTTCAGCTTATTCAATTAATCTTTGGCAAAAAACCTGGAAGCTGATTGGTTTCTATGGAGAGCTGCATTGGATTTTGCACGCTTCAGTTGTAGTAAATCAACCCCAGTATGGTTCTGCTCTGCCCCCCACTCCCTCCTCTCACTATTTGATTGACAGCAGCAGGAGCCAATTTCTCTCCGCTCTCATTGAGTATTCTGAGGAGAGAGCAGTGCTGCTGCCTGTGGCAAACTTGCTCATCCTTGTTGGAGCGGAGTCCCCCTTCAACTCCCTTTTTCGTGTTCTGTCCGTTTATTCGAGGCATTCCTCAGCCTCATTCCTACCCTCCTCCCTTCTTGAGAGGCAAACGTTATCTCCTGGCAGATGGCGTGGAACAACCTAAGACATGAGAAGTGGAGACAGACTGTCTGCTGAAGTGTAACTTTTGTCACCCAAAACTATGTAAGCCCACTCATCAAACTGACCAGAGTAATTGCACAGTCCTCAGGTCAACTGTATGGTTCATATCATGGGATATGAAGCTGGTAATTTAGTTTAGAGTTTCCCTATGACCACTCCCTCAGAGCCCCCCCCCCAAAACGTGTAGTCAAGGAGTTAGTCTGTGACACACAAGACTCACACAGAGAGATCTCCCAGCAACATCGTAACAAAAGGAGACTAAAGAACCTTTCTGCTCTGCATCTTGGATCCGCAAACCCAGGCTAAGGGCAAGTAACTCAACCCTGTAATCTTCTTCCTAAGTATCTCTTTGCTGTCTTTATATACATATATATATATTTTTGTGACATCTCTTTGTAAATATGTATTTGCATCTGTCTGACGCTTTTAGTAATAAATCTTTCTTTCTGAAAGTGTTAAACTGTTTCTAAGCGCTTACTTGCAATTCACGAATCCCTGCCTTTGAAGAGACGCTACTGTTGGTTATATCTCTGTATAGCAGGTCCGCGGGTCATACTATATAGATCAATATTTCAATCATTCTAGTGTATATTTGATAATGGGAGTTTCCCAGTCTCCGACAAAAGTGGTGGTGGCAGTAGAGGGTTAGTTGCGTAACTAACCCGACCCAGTAACAAGCGCATTCAGGCTGCAGGCACCGATTGTAGTCCATTAGCTGGGCAATCGCTGTGTAGGGTGCAGCTGGGTGGGGCCTTGTTACGCGCGTCACACCACGGTTTTGGATCGGCCGGCCCTTCGGTCACGAGTTTGGTGAGAAGGTCTGGGGTCTGGCGCCGTGGGCGTGACATATTACTGTTAGTCGCGGCTGTGCGATTGTCGCCTGTTGGTGGCGGCGACCGCGGGTCGTGACACTGCCCACGGGCAACAGCTGGATTGAGGTTAGGCACAGGTATTTGGGGGGGGGGGGTTGGGGAAGCTGAACATGAAATGTTTTTTTACCTTAATGCAGAGAATGCATTAATGTTAAAAAAAACAACAAAACCTGCCTTTACAACCACTTTCAGCTGTTAACCGGTTGGCCTTTTTGTGAACATAACCTTTCTCTTTTGCTGACTATCTTAGACGTTGGTCACAGGCTGAAGTCACACTGGACGGACAGTTATCGGAGAGTTTAACCGCAGCGATTCCAACTGTGCAATCTGACTGCAGTAGAAGGCGGTGTGGTGCATTATTCAGCTCTTTTTTTTCTAAAAACTTTATTTGAAGTGCATAAAAGTGATACTTCATTCATGTCACTGCACAGCTGCATGGTATGCTGCATTACTTTACAGTGACATGTGATCCTTTATGGTGCACTGCAATAAAATACAAGCATGTCTGTATTTTATTGCAGCTCACTGCACGGCTATTTTCTGTGTGTCCTGGCAGTGACTTGCGTTTTGACAGTGCGGTTAAATCCTGGTTGCCATACATAGTGTAAATTAGCCCCATTTTCTCTTGTTTTCAGCTTAAGCTAACGACAGATGAAGTCCAGGATGTTACACAATTTATCTGCCTTTTCCCCAGAGGCCGCAGCAAAAAATGTTATGGGGGGTGTTTTTCAAAGTGATTTCTTGTTAATATTTTTGAAAAGCCTGGTCCTTCAGTGTTTTCACCATATTTAAGTATTATGAAGTAATTTTAATGAAAGACATGTTTTCTTTCTTTACAGTGTGTTGTAATTGGTTTACAATCCACTGGGGAAGCTCGTACTCGGGAAGTGATGGATGAAAATGATGGTCATCTTGACCACTTTGTGTCTGCTGCAGAGTGAGTATGATAATGTGGCCATAAAGCATTTAATATTATATTCAGCAGCAGAGTAAGCATAAAAATATAACTTTGCATAGTAATACTGCAGACTAAGTAAAGGACATACACTAGTTTTTCAAACTAATGTTTGTAACAAGAATCATATGAACATTTGCACAAATAAAGTCATTTGGCAGCTCGAGGAATGTCATTCGAAGTAGTTCAAAATTTTGTTTGCTTTCAACATTTGATTGTGGAGTAATTTTTCCGAACGAAATCGCATTCACTGTTAGAAATTTTGCATCTCGCTGCTTCAGATTTTCTTATCACTACCATATAAAACAAACAATGATTTGACCCATCAATGATTGAAAATGTTCTTTTAAAAAATGTTCGTTTTTTTAGGCCTGGTTCACACCATTGCAAGTACAACAGTGCATGAGCTAATGCACATTTTATACACAACGTGCGCTGCTTTAGGGCAGCCCACTCAATAAAATCAAGCCAAGGAAGTGCTTGTGCCTTTTTTAAACACTCAAAGCACCATAACATGTGGCTTGTTACCATGTGTTCTGGTGCCTAAAAACACGTTGGCCTTGGCAAGGCACGTTAGAGTGCTATTAGGAATGAATGACACTGCAGCACAACTACAATAAGGATGCAGTTTTGTGCACACTGGGAATGCAGTCTATTTTGCGCACCTTCCTTCTGCACATAGATGTGTCTCTGAACATGATACATTGTATTACTGTATGGGTTATTGTAGTATAATGAGCTACAGTGAGCAGGATAATACTAATCACATGTGAAATAAGTATGCGAATAAAAAAGAGTGGTTAATATCTTATTGTCTATACACCAGGTATACCAAATATGAAAGATAACTGCCGATTAATTGTACATAAATTGTACATTGTAATACAGTATCTCAAGAATATGGAGCTTTTTGTAGAAACATTGGTAACTAAATTATTTATTTCCTTAACATTGCAGAGGTGTGTTTAAGTCTTTGATCGTGAAACACTTTCCTTCAAATAAGAGGAAGCGAGAGAAGGGCATGCTGAAAAGGAAAAGTGAGTACAGGTTTCTAGTTTTTACTTTAATTGTCAGTGGAAATTTTCTGTTTTAAAGAGGAACTTCAGTTAAAAAAAAAAAAATAAATAAAAGTCAAATACTGTTGTTGCTGACTTTTAATATGCAAACATTTACCAGTCCAGGGATCCACCCCTGTATTCACCCACGCTGGTTCCTCGTTGGTCTTTGGGTTTCCAAAACTGCCATCTTGACTGTAGAAAGCTGGCTATGACATCCCGATGCTTCACAGCTTGCTCCCTGCTGTTCTTTCTTGCAGGTGTACAAGTGATGTGTCCCAGGTGGTTGAGGTGTGGAACTGAGATTACCTCTCAGAAATTGGTACCCACTCCCTTTAGAAAAAAAAAAAAGTTTCCAATACAGGGGGGGGGGGGGGGGGGGGGGGGGGGGGGGGGGGGAATAATCAGCGAAACTTTCTTTTGTAAGATGTTATTCCCTCATACTGTGTAGTATGGTCTAGCTTTATGTTTTCAATTCTATTTTCTATTTATTTTTCAATTTTTTTTGTAAGGACGAGGTAAACCACGCACTGGAAAGTTTTCACGTTGTGACCTTGCTGGATTAATACGCATCAGTGAGGAAAGCAGCTCTGATTCTGAAGGCGTGCTGGACAGTGACTCTAATTCCTCCCCAGAGTCCCTGCAGGATAATGATGATGTCATCTTTGTAGAACACACCTTAAATGGGTTGACAATACCTGACCGTGGTAAGAACATAATGGGAATCTGTTTCATTATAGCATTTTGCTTTTTCACAAATAAAATTGAATATGTCAGTAGTGTCCAACTTAAAAGGGTCCAAGGGTCACATGCCTTGGTGAAGGAGTTTTAGAAATTTATAGGTTAGTGAAATTCTGTACTTTATTTTTATCTTTTCGTAGGCCCAGAACAGGTTGAACAAATGAAGATGGATCTTCTGGCCAAGGTGGAAGAATTAGGCAAGGAGCTGCCTCTTAACACTTTGGACATGCTTATAGATCAGTTTGGAGGTCCAGAAAAAGTGGCTGAGGTATGTTTATTATGTCATCCTAAAACATGCCATAACCTTCCATTTTTTTTTAAGAGTCATGTAAGTCTCTGTTCCTTAGATGACTGGCAGGAAAGGTCGTGTGGTTCGTCGTAGTGATGGATCTCTTGGATTTGAATCCCGAGCTGAGCAGAATTTATCGATAGATAATGTCAATTTAAGGGAAAAGGAACGTTTTATGAATGGGAGCAAGGTAATGTTACGTATCATTCTGCTATACTGATAATCTATAGTTTTGATCTCCACTTTAGTGATGCGTTGTCTTTTTTAATTGTTACACATTAAGCTGGTGGCAATTATTTCTGAAGCGTCGAGTTCAGGTATTTCACTACAAGCTGACCGGCGAGTACCAAATCAACGTCGACGGGTACACATGACACTGGAACTGCTGCCGTGGAGTGCTGATAGAGCCATACAACAGTTTGGTGAGTTATGTATGGTTTTTTATGGTTTGGTAAATTGAATATCTCCATATTAATTGTTTTATTATTACTTTCCGTCTGTGTCCCCCTTCATAGTCTCTCTTGCTATAATAAAACCATCTTCCCATGATTTCTAGGTCGTACTCACCGCTCTAACCAGGTATCTGCTCCTGAATACGTTTTTCTCATATCAGAACTTGCAGGAGAGAGGAGGTTTGCTTCTATTGTGGCTAAGAGACTGGAGAGCTTGGTAAGTACAGTATATATTTTGTAATCCTGTATACAGTATAATAGAGTATAGATTTTGTTCAAACAAAATAGAAAATTCTTATTGTACAGGACACAGACAACTTATTCATAGCTCATGGGTAATAGGCTCATAACCTTCAAGGTGAATGCATACTGGCAAGCTTTTAAGGACACACCCCACTGGGGCATGAGAATCTGTGTGTCCCCAATTTTTTTCTAGTGTCTGAAGGTGATGGGCCTCCTCTCCTTCCCAGAGTTTTTTTTACTTTTTCTTTTATATTCTTCTCTTTTACAAAGGGTTTTATTATAGAATAAGCAGAGATAAACAAACATTCAAGAAGCATATACATTGACCAAAACTTATGTGACATACAGGGCATTTGAGAAACATTTCAGAATATGTACTGGTAGGAGCATAAGCGTAAACTAAATATTTTAGTGCCTTGAAAAAGAAGAAAGGGAAAAAGGGGGTAGAGAAAAAAAAATAGAAGGAAAAGTGAGGGGGAAGTAATGAGCAAACAATTGGAGGTCAATGACAATGCAAACTCTAAGAGAAGTTTTTGCTATATCAGCGCATAGAAAACAGGAGAGGCAGGAAGGGAAGCCTTTCCAGAGGTTAATATATATTCCAATACATTCCAGACATTGGGCTCTCAATGGAGTCCGGGTTGCCTAGGTAGCATTGCAGATGTAGCACTCAAAGCAATGAACACAATCATTACAATTGGCATAGGGACAGAGTGAACAGAAGAATAGAGAGAAGCCATCAATGAAAAGACGAGGACAAACATAAAAAAAAAAAAAAAAAAAAAAAGACAGGGACAATCACAAAAGGGCTCTAGGGCAGACGCAGCAGAATCGATCCTCGTATCGACAAAAGGGACTGGTCAAATCTCGAAGGCTGGGCTGTATCCAGCCAGGGACGCCATACCCGCAGGAATTTTGGATGGGTATCCAACAGTATAGCCGTCAATTTTTCACTGACCATTATGAAATTCATCCGGTTTTTGACAGCCTCGAAGCTGAGGAGAGGAGTCTTCCTGGCCCTCGCGATTGTCAATTTAGTAGCCATAAATAAATATGATGCCAGCTGCCGTTCAGGGCGAAGAAGGCTCTCCAATGGTTTAAATAGGAGCGCTTCGTACGGGTTACGCTTTGTCTGCGTGAAACATAGTGTGGAGAAGGGCATAAACCCTAATCCACAATCTGCTAACTTTAGGGCAAGTCCACCAGATGTGAACCATAGTACCCACTTGTTGGCACCCCCGAAAGCATTCCGGAGAGTATGTAGGAATAAAACTAGCTAGACGAGCAGGTGTATAATACCATCAATAAAGAATTTTGTAGGCATTTTCAAGAATGATGACGTTCCTAGAACATTTAGATAGTGCTTGGGTCATGGTCTGCCAATCCTGTAGGTCCAAAGTCCCTCCAAGTTCCGACTGCCAACGTTGATGATAGGAACAGACCAGAGGGGTTCTATAGGAAATAATGGAAGAGTAGACCAAAGAGATCAGGCCCGGAGCATGGGGTCTATGTCTGCACTGGCTTTCAAAGGGGTTAGACGGTAAGGTCCCGAGTGTGCATCCGTAATAGTGTATTAATAAAGTGACGGAGTTGAAGGTAGCCAAAGTGTTCCCGTAAAGGGATGTTATAAGAAGAGCACAAAGTTTCAAAGGTGAGTATTCGGGTAGGAGATAGTAACGAATGTACATCATAAAAACCATGTGTTTGCCACCACCAAGAAAATTGCCTAGGATTGTCCCGGCCTGGAGGGAACAACGGGTTATGTAACAGACGTAGCAACGGCAAATGGGCAGAAATAAGGCCAGCGGAGTATTTAACAGAGTCCCATCTTTTATATTCTTCTCTTTTGTGTAGATGTCCTGGAATACATGAGTTCTAAAACAAATATTCAGAATGGCTCTAATCTCCATTCATATGCTTAGAATCTTATGGCTAAAAGTTTGGACAGAAGAAACTGCCTGTAAAGGCGCCTCATATGTATGCTCTTCCAGGGAAGACATCTGTTTGGTGAGGCACTTGACCAGTTGATAAAAGAGGTAACCAGTGGGAAGGTTTTTGCTTCCTCAGAAGTACTAAAACTGTCCTTATCAGTAGCCTCTAGGCATCTAAATGCAGAGCACCTGTATGCTCTAAGCAGGCTTCAACTTCTAAACCTTAAGTGCAGTACTTCTTTTCAGCACAAATCTTGGCCACTAGACAACCTTATCCTGAGAGATTTTTTTTGTCCTTGCAACTCTCAGCAAATGTTCAAAAGACAATTCAGCCGCTCCAGGTGTTTGGCTGGGTGATCAATTACAATAAATTTTGCTCTCCAGTTTTCCTTATGCTTGGAATACTTTGATCTAATCCTAGATATATCCTAAGCAAAGGTCTTTTTAAAAAAAAAAAAAAAAAAAAAAAAGTTTCTCGAAGATCTCTTGCTCAGAAACTGGGATCCAAGTGCAGTAAGATGTGCCATGAGAGTTTTGGGTCTAATTCTGGCCTCCTTTGAGGCAGTACCTTTTGCCTAATTCCACTCAAGAACTCTTCATCTAAACATTCTATCAGCATGGGGTAAGCGGGCCCTTTTCATGGACCTACCCATGCTCTTATTCAGCCAAACAAGAACTTGTCCTGGTGGATCACCACTTTAATTTTAACAGGGAAAAATCTTTTCTTTCCTACATTGGAAAGTTCTTAAAACAGATGAAAGTATCAGCCTATCAGGCTGCGGTGAAGTCTTCCAATTGATGATAGTTCAGGGAACATGGTTGAAAGAAGAATCCAAACTCCCTATCAACATCTTGGAGCTCAGGGCTGTCCGGTGTCCCTTTTAGCACTGGAACCCCCTTCTAAAGAAACATTCAGTTCAGATGCATTCAGACAATACCACACATTGGCATACTATATGTCAACCATCAAGGGGGCAAGAGGAGCCTGGCTGCTTTGGAGGAAAGGAACCAGATTTTCTTATGGACAGAAATTCACTGCCCAGTGATTTCTGCAGTCCACATCCCAGGAGTGGACAACTTGCAGGTGGATTATATTAGCCAACATTGCTTGGACCAAGGGCTGAGTGGCATCAGCCCACAGCGGATTTTAGCCCATTGTCGGCTGAAAATGGGTCACAGGAGTGTAGAACGAATTGCACTTCTGTGACCTACTGAAGTTCATCCAGACGTGTTCAATCTGATATGCCAAAAATGGGTAACTCCAGATGTGGACATCCTAGCTTCCAGATACAAGGACAAACTACCGCTGTTTGTAGCCAGAACCAAGAATCCTATTGTTTTGGATGCTCTAGTTACCCCCTGTTCTCAGTTCAGACTAATCTATGCCTTCCCCCCACTAAGCATTATGCCTTACCTGCTCCACAAAATAGAGCAAGAGAAGAAGACAGTAATTCTACTGGCACTGAACTGGCCCAGATGACCCTGGTACATAGACATACTCAGACTTCTACAGACAACCCCTAGCCTATTCCCAAAAGGCCAGATCTGCTATCTAAAGGTCCTCTATTCCACCCTGTTTCACAGTCTCTGGTTTTAAGGGATAGAGATGGCCATTGAAACCCAGGTTTTAAAGGATTGAGGGGGTTCTGAGTCTGTGATTCCTACCACTATCAGGAAGATCTGTTAACAAATCTGGAAATCTTACTTTGCCTGGTGTGAGCGCAATCAGTTCAGACCCAGAGATTACTCTGTGCCTCACATTCTGGCCATCCTTCAAATCGGTCTTGACCTTAATCTAGCTGTTAGCACCCTGAAAGGGCAGTCATCAGCCTCATTTATCATCTTTCATTGTTCTGCCATCCTTGTACGCTGCTTAAAGCATCCATAGGAATTCTCTACATTTTCTGTAAGTAGTCAGAGCCATTAGAGTGTATTTAACCACTTCAATACCGGGCACTTTTACCCCCTTTCTGCCCAGGCCAATTTTCAGCTTTCAGCGCTGTCGCACTTTGAATGACAGTTGCGCAGTCATGCAACACTGTACCCATACGAAATTTGTATATATTTTTTTCACACAAATAGAGCTTTCTTTTGGTGGTATTTAATCACCACTGAGTTTTTTTTTTTTTGCTAAATAACCCTGAAACTTTTGAAAAAAAAAAAAACATTTTTCTTCACTTCTGTTATAAAATTTTGCAAATAAATAAAATTTCTTCATAAATTTAGGTCAAAATGTATTCTGCTACATTTGAAAATACCCCAAATTAGTATATATTATTAAGTCTGTAGGAAAGTTAGAGTCCACAAACCAAGGTGTGTGTATATATATATATATATATATATATATATATATATATCGGAGAAAGGATCAATCCTGATGTACTGACGACCCATCTCATACATATACAAACGAATGCAAATAATAATTTTTTTTTTTCAGATTTTTTTATTACATTATTTTTTGGTTTTTTTACTATTTTTCAACACACTGTGACTAAAGCAATACAGTGTTACCATAGTAACATTAAACTACTCTGGGCAAGTGATCAGGATTTTTTTTTTTTTTTTTTTTTAACACATTATGATTGCTAACACCAATGTATTTCAATGATATTTGCAATCATCGTTCCAGAATGAAACTGATTCATTCAGTCTTTTGTTGTGATTAGTTGTGATTGGGCAAAGCTCATCACATGATACAGATGGGCTGTGATTGGCCCTGTCTGTATCATGTGACTGCTTTGACCAGTCACAGCTAACAACATAATTATTTACAATGGATGGCATGACAGGAAGCCATCCATTGTATACAATTGACATGTGATCTGCTGTGATTGGTCACATGACACTGGCAACGGGCTGGTGTAGCGATATGTCATCACCTGTGTCCCGTGGACACAGCCACTGACAGATCGCGCTGCTGCACGGCCCCGTGGCCGCATAAGCGGCTTGTTTTGACAGGACATCATATGACGCCCAGTCACAACAAGCTGTGTCCCGCCTGGTCATCATTCTGCTATAGGCCGGGTGGGAAGGTGTTAAAAGCTACTGTTTACATTAGACAAATAGATTCCTTATTTGTTCTTTCTTCTGGTCCTCACAAGGGTCACCTTGTTTGAAAATCCACCATTGCATGGTGAATCAGGAATTTGACTACAAAAGTCTGGTCTTAAAAACCTCTTCTTGCGCTGTTACACGCCCAACCCACCAGATCTGTTGGAGTATCCTGTGCCTTTAGGCACCAAGCCTTTGTTGCCCAACTATGTAACATTGCCACCTGATCTTCTGTCCATACTTTTTAAAAGTTTTACTAGGTGGTTGTCAAATCTTTTGCAGCAGCTTGAACATGGGTCTTTAACCCCTCTTGTTTTTTTGGCCTGTTGGCACACTTTCCTTTGCCTACCCTTGTATTCATTACCTAGAGACGTCCCATGGTGTATGAATAAATCACCTGTGTCCTGTACTGAGTAATTAAGATCTGAGAAATTTTGACTTGCTTGTATATTCAGTATTATGAAGTATAGTACAGGACACAGGACACCCTTCATAAATTCTCCTTGTTGATCTGCATTGCCTGCCCCGAAACAGAGGACTCATGAAATGGAGTAGGGTTATATGGAAGGCACCCCAGTGGATATCTCTTTAAAAGCTTGCTGGTGTCCAGTCACCTGAAGGTACGAGCCTATAACTCATGGTGTATGAATAAGTTGCCTGTGTCCTCTACTGTACTCCAGGATATGGAATTTACAGGTAAGTCAAAATTCTTCTGATTCTGTTCTGCTTCTCATTACATCACCTAATGGAATCTGTTTAAACAGGGTGCACTTACTCATGGGGACCGGAGAGCCACAGAATCCAGAGATCTCAGCAAGTACAACTTTGAGAACAAGGTTAGTGGGACTGCTCTTCATAATGGGCTGTTTACTTAAAGCCTAATTTTAGTGAAAAAAAAAAAAAAAAATCAGCACAATGGACATTACTTACAAGTCAGTAGGATATGCTGCAGCCTTCTGTTAGCTGAGGGAGGTGTGACAGGCACTCAAGAGTGCCTGACTATGCCTACCCTTTCTGCCCACCCCCATCATTCATAGAAGCTTCTATCAACCCCACCCCACATGAAGATTGCAGTAGTAGGGGAATCGATGGAAGAGGCTTTAAGCTAATAAAGGAGACAGCAGCAGAGCAGAAGCACAAAGGGACACATCTAATGACTGTACATTAGGTCCCTTGTTCTGATTTTTGTGTTTTGTGTGTTTTTTCCATTTACTAAACTTGGATTTACATTTAGGAGTTGACTTTGTTAGGTCTAAGGAAAATAACAGATCTATGGTCCAAACACAGCACAGGAAGCTGCAGAGAATGCTCTGCCATAGCCAGTTATTTATATTCTTGTTGTTTGTGTTCCTCCTCTTGCAGGCATTATTCTATGTGTAAAATACAAGTGTGATTTAGAGTGTTGATTTAGTTTTTTTATGGTTGTTTGAAAATTCTGTTGTTAAATTGCTTTTTCTATCTGTGTAGTATGGGTCAAGATCACTGGAACAGATATTATCAGCTATCCTGAACCAGACACAAAGGGATGTGCCTCCTCCACAGGGGTACCCAGGAGGCCCTGCTACTTTCTTCCAGGGTAATTTTTAGTGAAACTAAATTCACTCTTTATTTAATCTATTGGCTTGTCTCTCCATAAGTATAAAACTCAAAAACCAGTACGTGTAGATATCTCAAAATAACTAGGTATAGCTAACTAGGGAAAAAATATAGCTCTGTGTGTATATACACACGCTTTATCTGTAGCTTCTCTGTTAATTTAATTTACCAGATTAGGAAAGCATTTAGGTGTGTGTGTGTGTGTGTGTGTGTGTGTGTGTGTGTGTGTGTGTGTATATATATATATATAATTTATTTATTTTTATATCCTTTATTTACATTTTTCAGTACAAAAAAAAGAACAACCTTATACACAAAAACTTCACATATACATGAATTCCATTTTACATCACCTTATCCCTTTCCTCCCCTTAATTCCTCCCACCCCCTCCCCTCCCCCCCCCCCTCGAGTTGCCCCTATCCACATCCCCTTGCCTAATCTCTATCTCCTCTTACTTCTCTATCTATATCTATGTCCCTTCCCTCCCACGTCCACTATCCCTTTCAAATACTCTGTCGAACTCTCTCTCTAAACTTTTCCCCCTAAACTCCATACCTGTTCCGGATATCTTTTAGATGTTTTAAAGTCTAACCAAATACTCCACGTTTTCCTGAATTTTTCTATTTTATCCTCCTCTATACGATATAACTTTTCTATCCTATAGATATTTTTAGCTCTATTTATCCAGTCATTTATTCTTGGTGGCTTCGGAGCTTGCCAGAACTTGGGAATCAAGCCCTAAGCCACACTGATTAAATGATATAATACACTGTTTTTATGCAGTTTCACTGTAGGCTCGAAATTATAAAAATAAACGCATCCACGGGTCTTTCTGTATGGTGATCCCATATATTTCCTGAATATATTGGATTATTTCTTTCCAGTAGTCCTTTATTTTTGGACAATCCCACCATATATGTGCCATTGTTTCCTTATTCCCACATCCTCTCCAACATAAAGGTGAAACATCTACTTGTTGCTTATGTGCCACACTCGGTGTAATATACCATCTCGCCAAACATTTGTATTTAATTTCAACTGTGCTCATATTCATTACCTCATGTGATAATTTAAATATTTAATTTTTTTGTTGCTCATTCAATTCTGTTCCAAGCTCCTTTTCCCATTTTTCCAAGAACAAGGGAGGATCAGCTCCTTCCATATCTATGAGAATCTTATAGATCTTAGAGGTGACTTGTTTTGGAACTATATTTAGGTTCAACAATTTTTCTAATGGATACAGATCGTCTGGCATTCTCAGTGGTTGTGGGAACCTTGAAACAAAATAACCTAATTGAAAATACCGCCACTCATCTAATGTGACAATTAAATCTTTTTTCTTTAAATCTTAAAAAGCAATTCCCATTTCATTGGGAAAGGGATTCCTTTACTTATCTCGGTGTCCAGCTTACCCGTCACATTGGTGACCTTTATGCAAAAAATTTCCTTCCAGCGCTTCGCTCTATGCAGGAAGATCTCAGTAAGTGGCATCGTCCTTGCTTCTCATGGTTTCGGTCGGGGCAGCGATCATCAAAATGAACATACTTCCCCGCCTCTTATATCTCTTCCAGACATTACCAATTCAGTTACCGATGACCTTCTTCATATCTTGCAAAAGAATGTGCTCGTTGTTCCTATGGAACCATAAATGTCCGCGCATTGCCTACTCCCAATTGATCCTCCCTAAACTTGCGGGTGGTATTGGGTTCCCTGACCTTCAACGCTACTATTGGGCATGTCACCTCGCACGGATAGTCGATTGGCACGTTCACACGTCCTCCAAGGATTGGATATATGTTTGAAAGTGCTTCCTCCTCCCTACCCCTGGCCTCAATCCCTTGGCTTTCACCGAAACATACGCCACTGGCCCTTCTTACTCACCCACTGATAGGGCCCACCTTAAAATTTTTTCGTTTGGCGTGTAAATCCGCGTCTATCTCTGAAAACACCCAACCCCTTAACCTCTATCCGCCTTAATTCTGATTTCCCTCCCGGGATGCACCAAGATTTTTTATCTAAACACTGGCCATATAAACAAGTCTTGGCGAAACACACTTCATCCACAATGGCAAGTTGAAAACACTTCAAGAATTACTTACGAGTCTGGATATCCGCGAATTCCCCTTTTGGGCATACCTCCAAATTAGACACTACCTGCTAACACATAAACCCACTCAGAACTGGTCCCGCCCTCTTACCCTGTTCGAGTCTATTTGCGCTAAAGCAGAACCATGTAAACATTTGATTTCGGAGATCTACCCCCTCTTACTGGAAAACAGGACATACAACTCTCTTCCTCTTGTCGGGCCTGGAATAGAGATTGAGACACTAACCTATCAGACTCCGACTGGGATTTAATTTTTTTCAGTACTCTCATAAATGCTCCCTTAATGTCTCGACCCAGGAAAACAGCTACAAAATAGCCTCTAGATGGTATCACACCCCTTTGAGGATTCATCGTTTCAATCCTTCCTTTCCCAACAGCTGTTGGAGATGCGGAACTTCTGTTGGTTCGTTTCTTCACATCTGGTGGTCCTGCCCGGCTCTTCAAACCGTTTTGGCGAGAGGTTCATCGGCTTGTGGTGTCCGTAACTACCTTGCCCTTAGTTCTTTCCCCAGCTCAATTTCTCCTTCACCACTCTCCCCTTCCCAGGGGACAATACTTCAAATCCCTGGCCATGCATATGGTCAATGCGGCCAGACTTTGTATTCCTGTTCTGTGGGGCTCCACCCGTCCTCCCTCTATACGTGATTGGCTCACCCGAGTGGGAAAAATAGCGGATATGGAGGAGTTGATTGCAACTGCACACGATACCCCCAATTTTCTCACGTATGGGCCTGTTGGACACATTTTCTGACTACTCCTGTATACCGATCTCTTATGGACCAGTCGGTCTGAATTCAATTGATCCCCCTGAGGGCGCTACTCTGTCTTGTTTGACTCTGTGGGGGCAGATTACCCCCGTTTGTCCTCCTCCCCCAACCGACCGATTCTGATGACAGGCTGGAATTTTGTAGGTTTGGCGACTGTATCACCGTATGGATAACAATCACTCTGTTATTCCCTTTCTCATTTGCCCACCCCCTGCTGCTGCCCCCCCCCCCCCCCCCCCCCCCCCTGTTTTGTTTTTATTTTGTTTTGTTTTGTTCTTCTCTCTCTTACTCTCCCCCCCTTTCTTTTTTTTTTGTTTTTTCTCCGCTCTATGGCTTCTTTTCTTCATTTCTGACTAACCTCTGCATGCATTGGTCAACTACCCAAAGGACAATTAGCTATGATGACAGAATCACTTCCCCTTTCATACTAGCAGTATACTTGATCACACATTCTCACACCCGCGCTCAGACGCCTCCACCACTTTCAACTTATAGCACTGACTCTGGCTTAGACGTCGTTTGCGTTCTTCTTCTCCCCGCTGCAGATCCACACTTTGTGACGTTATCAGAGGAGGTCTGGGGCCTCCTGGCCTAACGCTGTGTTTTTTCATTACAAGCGTCCTAATGTATTTCAGGCACTACCGTGTCGTGGTTTAGTTACCCCACACTGCTTTGTTTTTGTAATTGTACTTGTTTTCATGCACTCTTGACTGGATGTGTGTGTTGCTAATTGTCTTTCTCACATTTCATGTTTATCTTAGCTTATTATGTCAATCTGTATTTCACAATAAACATTATTTTTTTGGAAAAAAAAAAAAAAAAAAAGCGTGCAATTTCCCTTTTTATTTAATATATCTTTCAAATGTGCATTTTTATCTTTAATCCATTTCCCGGAAATATTGTCCTTCCCTGGGGGGAAAATACCCCACTAAGGTGGTCAATACTGAATTATATTTCCATCCCTTTTGTTTATAAATTATATCCCACTTAAAACTTTCTTTGCCAGTGGACTAATATTCACATCCAATATACGGAATTTATTTGGTATCCAAACAATCTTCCCTAACTGTGCCTTACTCAAAAACCCTTCCATATTTACCCAACCTTTTGCTTGTGCATTATATGTCCAATCCACTATTCGTGATAATATTACCACTAAATAATATTTCCTAAAATTAGGCAAACCCAAACCCCCATTCCCTTTTGTCCTACACAAAACCTCATAATTAAATCTCGGTTTCATATTTGCCCATATGAACCCGAGCATCATCTTCTTTATTATCCCCAAATAAAGACCCTGATAGATGCACTGGGAGCATATGAAACTTATACAGGATTTTTGATACTATCACCATCTTTACCAGGTTTATACGACCTATCCAGGAGGCTCCTCCCTTTGCAAGTCTCCCCAGCTCATCCTTTATTTCATTTATTAATGGATATAATTTGCCTGGTATAGGCCTTTTATTGAAGGAGTTAATTTTATTCCCAGGTAGCCTATTTCCTTTTCCATCCAAGTAAATGCAAAATCTTTTTGTAAGCTCAACTTCTCTAGCTTTGAGATATTGATGTTTAAAATCTCTGACTTTCCGGGGTTTATTTTCAAATTTGATAGCTCGCCATACTGTTTTAAAAGTCTCATTTAATTGGGCAACGTTATCTAGGATTTACAGTATAGAATAACATATCGTCTGCATATGCGGCTACCTTATGCTCCACTTCCCTTATCTTTATTCCAGCTATATCAACACACTTTCTTACCCTTAAAAGGACAGGTTTCATAGATAAATAACAACAAAGGAGAGAGTGGACATCCTTGTCTAGTACCATACATTTTTAAAAAACTGAGAGAGGGATCCTTTGACCTTAACCAGTGCTGACAGACCATTATAGAGCCCTTTTTATCCATTTTAACATTTTAGGCCCAAGGCCTCTAACGTATCAAACATGAATCCTCAGTCGACCCTATCAAACTCCTTTTCAGCGTCAATCGACAGGAATATTGTTGGCTGTTTCTCTCTCTTTGTAAGAGGAGCAATAATCTCAGGCCATTGTCTCTTCTTTCTCTCCTGTTGATGAATCCTACCTGATCCAGGTGTATCAGCTCCTTCAATCTAGTTGCTAATACCTTACCATACAATTTTGTATCAATGTTTAGTAAAGATATGGGCTTATAACTAGCGCACTGTGAGCTAAGTACTTGGGTTGTTGGGCAACTTCATTCCCTGTTTCTGCTGGTTTTGCCACAGCAGGGGTTAACACTGTGGGACTGAGAGCTGACGTTCTCACTGGGTGGAGTGTCACACATGCTCTCGCTTTCTTTCTTGCCATACAGCTTTGCGGAATCATTTTCCCACTGTTGCTCCTGCGTGCGCAGAGCAAATCAAAACTTTGAACTTTGATCTATTCCTGCTGCCCCCCTACAATGACTTTCATCACCTCTGGCTGTCTGACTTTCACCTGCCAGCAGCTGTCTGGGTTTGGCCTTGCCACTTACCCTGAGTCTGTATTTTAACTTACCACCTTATGATCGATTTCTGATTCTAGACTTGGGATGTTCCGCTGTAGCCTCCAGAATCATTTAATCCTCTACTCTTAGAAGTCTGTACTGTCTTTGGACTCCTCTTTGATTCCATCAGTTGTGACTGGACCCCTCTCAGCTGTGTTTTTATTTGCGTTCATGCAAGATTATTATGTGTCAAATCAGTCAGTTACTTGCTGACTTTGATTGCAGTGGCCAAAAGTGTTCTCCTGTGCATCTACAGCATATTCTTTATATGATTTGCCTGCAGCCTCAACAGAGGCTTCCAAGCCACAAGTTGTTTGCTCCCCCTAAACACCTGTTAACTTTTACAGTGCCTTGAAAAAGTATTCATACCCCTTGCAATTTTCCACATTTTGTCATGTTACAACAAAAAAAAACGTAAATGTATTTTTTGAGATTTTATGTGATGGTCAACACAGAGTGGCACATAACAAAGGGAAAATGATAAATGGTTTTCAAAATTTTTTATAAATAAGTATCTGAAAAGTGTGGCATGCATTTCTATTCAGCCCCCTTGAGTCAATACTTTGTAGACTCACCTTTCGCTGCAATTACAGCTGCAAGTCTTTTTTAGGTATGTCTCTACCAGCTTTGCACATCTAGAGAGTGAAATTTTTGCCCATTCTTCTTTGCAAAAAAGCTCAAGCTCTGTCAGATTGGATGAAGTGCATCTGTGAACAGCAATTTCCAAGTCTTGCCACAGATTCTCAATTGGATTTAGGTCTGGGCTTTTTTTCCCACCACACATAGTGTTTTTCTTTTAGAGCAAAAATTCAATTTTGGTCTCATCTGACCAGAGCCCCTTCTTCCACATATTTTCTGTGTCCCCCGCATGGCTTCTCACAAGCTGCAAATGGGACTTTTTATGGCTGTCTTTCAACAATGGCTTTCTTCTTGCCACTCTTCCATGAAGGCCAGATTTGTGGAGTGTACAGCTAATTGTTGTCCTGTGGACAGATTCTTCCACCTGAGCTGTGGATCTCTACAGCTTCTCCAGAGTTGCTTGGCTGCTTCTCTGATTAATGCTCTCCTTGCCCAGCTTGTCAGTTTAGGTGGACGGCCATGTCTTTGTAGGTTTGCAGTTGTGCCATACTCTTTCCGTTTTCGGATGATGGATTGAATCAGCAGCATGCATGTCATGACTGTTTGGTCTGTTGGTTTTATCACCTTCCTGCCACTGGTCTGGATCTGAACCTGGCTGTCAGTACTATCTAGGATTAGGTTTCTGCCCTTTCCATTTTGTTTCAGAGATTGTTGGCCCCTCACTCTTTAATTTAGACTTTTTGTACAAGGGTTTTTCTATATAGCTCCCCCCATCCATTCCCCAGTGACTCTGGTATCTGAATCTGGTTCCCTTTGTTCTTCAGAAACTGCTGTTTAAGCCCATTACAGACATTTCTCGCTCTACTCTCACCTGAGGTCAGTGACTGAACTAGTGGCCTTACCCTTCAAGAAACACTTTTGTCTTTCACATAGGGACAGTATGGTTGTTAAAGAATATGTAAGCGCAACATTCATATTCCTGATACATGGCTGCTTTACCATGTACTTGTATGAAAAAGTATCCTGTTCTCTTTGTATTGCTTCCTTTGTGTGAAATACCTGGTGTTCTGCCATTCCTCTGTTTTGCTTTTCATTTCCATTTTAAACTAAATGCGTTGTTTTTACAAGGTGATGGCTTAGTTACAGTATACTTATGGGCCAGAACTTCCTTCTTCCCTAGGGTAATTTCTGCCTTTTACCTCAACAAAGAGATTGTTCTTCCGTCCCTCGCAATAATACTACTTTTGGACATCACAGATGTTAAGGATTTCCTCGGTCCTCACGGACAAGGAAGACAATAGAATTTTTGTACTTGCTGTAAAATCCTTTTCTTGGAGTCTGTAGGGGATACAGGTCTTTGCTCCTTTGTATTTATGATCATGATTGAAGTATTGCTTTGCTGCAAAAATAGTGGGAGAGTTAATTCTAGGCTGGTTTATATTTTTTTTTGCCAATGTCCAATGCTCCTGTAGGCAACAGTATAACTAAATGATTAGGGACTTTCCTGTGTCCCTCAGTAGATTCCATTTAAAGTGATTATAAACCCTCACCTTGTGAAATAGCCCATTCAGTTTACAATAGAAATGAAAAGTAAACATTTGCTTATAGATAAATAAAAAATATATAAATACTTTTTTTTTTTTTTTTTTTTATTAGGGATCACATACCCTCAATTCTCAGCTGCATTAGAGCTGGGGGAGGAGAAACAGCATTACTCTGATCTTCCCAGTGAAAGGCTGTGTGTGCGCGTTGGCAGGGGGCTGGGGGGGGGGGGGGGGGGGGGGGGGGGGGGGGGGGTTCAGGACAAGTCTGATCATTGGAGGAGAGGGCAGGCTGAGTTCCCAGCATAGATGGAGAACTCACCACAGTGTTTCTCTTGCTTAGCGTGGTAATTTTTAATAGGAAAGCAGAGGGACTGGCAGGAACATGAGGGATTTCACGCAAAGAAGCAATACAAAGAGAACAGGATACTTTTTCATACAAGTACATACATGGTACAGCAGGCACACATCAGGAATATGAAAAGTTGTGTTTACAGATTTTTTTGAGGATTTTAAAATGAATTCAAAATTCCTTTTGTGCATATTGAGCCATACTGTGAGGCAAACGCTGAACTTTGATTTCAAATACAAGTTAGGAAATACACTGAAAATGCGTCTAAAATGCACACAAACATGCAAAGTGTATTAGTCTCAATATATTTACATGCTTTCTGAAAACTCTGTCATAGTCTGTTTTCCATCAAGATGTTTTCCAACACAGTTGATTATTATTTGAGTAGTCACACTAAATTCACTACATGCAGACTGTGCTATGCTTCGTGTAACTTATAATGGTTGGTAACAATGGAATTTACAGTACAGCACACCATCTTACTAAATGCAAATCCAAAACAAAATACAGTATATAGTTGTTGCACATTTAAAACACCAACATAGTAGTTAATTTAAACAAATTAAAATTAACATTTCAGTATATTTAATAGTCATAATCGAATCTTGGTTTGACTGTCTTGCATATTTTCTGGGAATCCATTCAGTCCTGGATCAGTCAGCATTGTACACTTTTTAAATAACATACTTTTTGCAGCTGGAAGCTGTTTATAATTTTTTACGCTCAACTGAAAGCAATGGAAAATAGATGAATTTTACTTTGCTCTGTTTTTGATTTCCTTTTTAATATAATGCTTGTTTGATGTACCTTCATTAATGTAAAGTGCCTTATAGAGGTAAGATATTTTAATTTTTTCTATGCTAGTATGTTCATTTAAAGATATTTTACAGTCACAGAATATTTATTGCTTTATAGACCCTGTACAAAGCTGACCGTGATTCTTTCACAATACAATTACTGGCATGGATTGGAGGGAAGAGTTATAGGACAGTCCTCTAGCTCTGTATATACTTGCACTTGACAGTTTCCTCTCTTTCCTAAATTATTGCAGAGCAGACAGTAGACAGTGCATACACATACCGTGATCAGTAGGCTTTCTTTTGGGCTAAAAGGTTAGGTAGGGTAAGACTATTTTATATTTCGATTTTTTTTTTTTTTTTTTTTATATCATACAAACAAGTAGAGCACAGAACATTGGTGACCTATGGAGTGAAGGTAATTCATAGCAACCAGTTAGGTTTCATTTTCCTGCCAGGCCAACTAAAGTGAATTTATGGTTGCTGGCGCTTTGGACACTGGCTTTTGACTTGGCTGTCCTCCTGTGTCTTGACTTTTCTTTATTGTGATTTTTTTTTTTTTTTTTTTTGTTCTCTCCCCCCCCCCCCCCCCAAAAAAAGCCTAACACTCCGTAACACTTTTCTGTGCGTGCTGAGTTAACCAGAAGCTCCACTAGTACACCTCATCTGGTTATGTGTCTGCAGTTTTCTATGTTTATTATTCATGTGTCATTATGTCTGTTTTTTTTTCCTTCTAGATATGAAGCAGGGTCTGCTTTCTGTTGGAATTTGCTGTAGAGAGACAAAGTACAATGTCGTTGTTGATAAAGGTCAATATCCAATCTCATTGACCATCAGGTTTCTTGGAATTGATGCATAGATATGAGTAGAATATTTGTGATATTACAATGTACCATTTCTTACAGTAAAGTGCGGTGCTCAAAGAAGATTAAAGGGGAAGTATGGAATTGTTAAAAAAAAGAAACCCATACATACTCCCTTCCATGCTGCAGCATCTGTGTGACACTGCAGCTGTACCCCACCACCTCCAACTGAGCAATCACATGGCTGATAATCGCTCAGCTCTTGGCTGTTCTGAGTGAAGAGCAGTGATTGTGACATGTGGCTTTGCCCCATCAGCTGACTCTAGACCACAAGAGAACAAAGTAAACATACTTTTATGACCCTCAAGAGAAGTACAACAAAAAAGCTTTGACCATACTTCTGTTTTAAGAGCAACCATGGAGATGAGGTGGAGTTCATGATTTTGTTCCAAAAGTTGAGGAAAATTTGCTGTATGTTTTCAGCTACCATTTTGGCTTTTCCTTTACATCGGGGTTGGCAAGCTGTAGATTGTGATCGACTGCGTGGAGTCGACAGGTCGATCATGACCGTGTCTCTGCCTCCCCGCTAGCCTCGGCCGCTCTCATGTTACCAGCAGCGAGAGCAGGAGGCAGCATAGTGCTGGATGGAGGGCAGGGTGGTAGCTGCTAAGTGATTGGTTGCTAGGCTGTCCTAGCAACTAATCGCCATCCTGTTTTTTTTTTTTTTTTTTTTTTTTTTTAACTCCGGTAGCCCCGGTCCTGCTTTCCACCCAGCACTGTATTGTCTTCTGATCTCAGCCCTGCCCTTCACATGCTGGCAGGTAGGAAGCGCTACCTGTGTGTGTGTGTGAGATGTGAAGGGGGGGGGGGCAGAAGAGACATTGTGGGGGGAGGGCAGAGGAGACACTGTGGGGGGGGGGGGGGGGGGACAGGAGGCTCTGGGGGGGCGGATGAAACTACAGTGGGAGGGGGTGATTCTGATGGGAAAAGGACATAGGACACTGCTTTGGGGGATGGGGAAGCAGAGGATACTGCAGTGTGGCAGGGTGGAGGACACTAAGCAGTGGGGCGTTGATGTGAAGGGGACAAAGGATATGACAGTGGCAGGGGGGATGTGGTATGAGGGGGCAGAGGATACTGCTTTGGAGGAGGGGGTACAGGACACTACTGTGGGGGAGGGGGCAGGGGACACTACAGTGTGTGGTGGGGGGGGTGATGTGAAAACGTTGGGGGTACAGGACACTACTGTGGAAGAAGGGGGGTGATGTAAAGGAGGCAGAGGACACTGCATTGGGAGTATGGGACACTGCAGTTGGGGGTGATGTAAAGGGGGGCAGAGGACCCTACTGTGGGGGGTGATGTTTTTTGTTTTTGTAAGGGCACCTCGTAAATAACCCAAATCAGTGTTTGTTATTAAGTCTATTGGAAAGTTTTATAGAGCCCACAAACTAATGGTATATGTCTGAAAATCGGAATAGTAGGCTATCTGAGATATTTAGTAAGAGGCATGGCGAGTTTTTTGAAGTTGTAATTTTTTGTCATACTTTTATGGAAGATTAAGACATTAGAAAAAAAAAAAAAAATTTTTTTTTTGTTTTGTTTTTGCATACTGTCACCAATGCAGTACAGCATCATCATATAACTGCTGTGGCGGGTGATCAGGGACACTGACTGGAGACAGTATGTAAAAAAAATAAATATAAATGTTTTTTACTCCTGTGACCAGAGGAATACAGTTGTTACCATAGTAACATTGTACTACTCTGGGCAAGTGATCAGGATTTTTTTTTTACACATTGATTGCTTATATCAGTGGATTTCACTAAGATAAACAACCATTTTTGCTGAATTAAACTGATCGCATGGTACAGATTAGCTGTGATTGGCCCTGTCTGTACCATGTGACCAATCACAGTTAGCAACACCGTTGTAAGCAATGAATGGGCATGAAAGGAAGCCATTCATTGTTTACAACTGTCATGTGATCTGCTGTGATTGGTCACATGTCACTGGCAACAGGCTGGTGTAGTGATTAGTCATCGGACACAGCCGGTGACAGATCACGCTGGATCGTGGCTCTATCCTGGGAGGATGTCGTATGGTGTCCTCTCAGGATAATAGGGATCTCGTCCAGCTGTCATATTACAATAGGCCCAACGGGAAGGAGTTAAACTACCTCTAGTCAGGTCCAAGATATGTACCCAATTGATGGAAATTATTGTTGCAAACTGATAAATTTAGTAAGTATTTATGAAAGAATTTTGCATATATACCTAGCCTTATGTTCTAGATAGGCATGTAAGATGATTCATTCTTCATGTGAAGTTAGTGAATATTACTTTGCCTTGTATTCTGGCCTATTTTGACCTTTATTCTGTTTCCATACTTGTTTTTTGCAGAGTGTTCAGTGACAAAGTTTTTAAACCGGATGCTGGGCCTAGAAGTTCACAAACAAAACAGCCTGTTTCAGTTTTTTACTGACACATTTGATTATCTCATTGAAAAGGACAAGAAGGATGGAAAATATGACATGGGTATCCTAGGTAAGACTGATGCTTTCATGCAAGGGGGTCAGAGCAAGCTATGACCAATTATTATGAAAGTATGCTGTACTTATCTCTGAACCTGTTGTGCAGTAGCATTATAGATGGTTTCAATAATCTTAGTTGTAATTTCCAATTACCCAGATTTAGCTCCTGGAGTAGACGAAATATATCAAGAGAGTAAAGAAACTTTCCTGACCCCTGGGCATCCACAAGATGGACAAGTTGTGTTTTACAAAGTACGTTTTCTAGATAAATCATTGATACTCGGTCTGCCATGACTTAATTAACTTTTTTCAACTTCTTCCTTGAGCGCTGTGTAATATATCTTTCTTTCCAGACATGAGGAAATCCCTATATATCTCACTCTTTTCATTACAGATCAGTGTGGACCGAGGTTTGAATTGGGAAAAAGCACTGGAAAAATCCTTGCAGCTTCAAGAAGCAGAGGAAGGCTTCTACTTGTCCTACAAGGTGTGCAATATAGCAATGCTGGCTTATTTTTGTGCGTTTTATTTTTTTTTTCTTCATGTATTATTTTTCTGTCCAGGTTCGTGGTGAAATGTACTCAGCAGTTCTGGCTGAGCATAGACATGGGAAGTTCTACAACCTGTATAAACCAAACATAGGGAAACAGAGCCATCCAGAAACCTTTGATAGCTTGCGGAATAAATACTACAAGGTGGGTTTCAGAGGTTGATAATATCCAACCATTACCTGTTTGTGTAAATCAGTTTGTCAGGTGTCTGCATTAGGTTTTTTCAGAGTTTGTGTTGGACTTGGATAGTTTAAAGTGTAATTAAAGGCAACATTTTTTAGTGTGATTATTTTTTTTTTTTTCAGTTTTGGATAGAGCGGAGTAACACCTGTTACTTTTTTTGTATTGACTTCATTGTTCCTGTTAGGGAGATTCACCCTCTTTATTTGTCCATTACCAAGTACTATTATCAAAAGTGAAAGAGGATACTCACTTTTGAGTCATTTCCCTTCATTTCCTGTTTTGGCTATGGGACAGGAAGTGAAGTGACACTGATGGCAAAAAAAAAAAAATGACGAGAGTTATAACTGTCCCTTACTCTATCTTGAATTACCAAACAAAAAGCTTTGCCTTTAGTTACACTTAAAATTAAGAATTCTTTGGATTGTCTACATACAAACAAAATTTGCTAGTGTACAGTATCCACAAAATTAAATTTGTGTATCCTCTTTGCAGAAAGATTAATAATTCATTGCTATTGGTTGCTGCACACCATTATTTTTGCAGTGTTATACTGCCAATAAAAGTCCATGCATACACAGTGCATTTTAAATGGAAATTTGAAAACATTTTTCTTGCAAGTTTTTTAATGTATTGTATAAAGCCGGGGTTGGCAACCCGTCGATCATGGCCAGGTGAATCATGATCTGCACTCTCCAGTGGCATAGTCAGAGTAGTGAAGAAAAGCTGGGCAGAGCAGGGAGAGAACTCTTGAGAAGGGAAAGAGAGAGACAAGTTGGCAAAACAGGGGAAGAGACAGCCAAACTGGCGAAGCAGAAGGGGAGAGAGAGATGAGTGGGCGGAGCAAGAGAGGAGAGAGAAGTGGACGGAGCAGGGGAGGAGACTTGCTCTTGCACTGAGCAGAAGGCGTGAGCTTAGTGGGGCTGCCGAAGTTTCTTTAGCACTGTGTAACATAAAATAAATACCTGTGAGATGGCCGCAGCACGCCCAGTGACCCCACACCTGCTGATTCAGTGAGCGAGGAAGTTGAGTGCAAGCAAGTCTTTTCCCCTGCTCTGGACTTCTCACTCAGAGCTGCTCCAGCTGTATACAATATGTAAACAATGTATGTTATCTGGTGAGTGAGTGCAGGGAATGGATGGGTGTCTTCTGTTCTGTTCCCTTTGAGGGTGGGATGAGGGGGTTTGTTGTGCTAAGGCATCTGAACTGGGTTAAGGGGAGTGGGGTGTCTGTACAGAGAGGTCTATACTAGGTGGGTGGTCAGTGTTGGAAAGCTGGTTGGTCTTTGCTGGACAAGGAGTCTGGACTAAGAGAGTAGGCTAGCAAAGAGGATAAGGGATGTTAGGGGAGATCTCTATCTTGAGGTATATAGGTGGGGGGTGAATTGCACTGAGCAGAGGGGTCATTTTGGTGGTACTTTTTAAAGTGGTTCGTGCATTAGGGCTTGTTAACACTAGTAGTTGGGGACAGTAAAAACCCCTCGGCTGAGCAGCAGTTTTACCACCTCCCAACCACTCCCCCTTTACCTGCAGAGGCAGCAGTCAGGGGTGTAAACATGCTGCTGCCACGATGCTTTGGTTCGTGGTGGCGGCAGCAGGAAATATAGGTCCATACTTATTTGTGAGGTTTTCTTAGTAAATTTCTATCTATCTATCCATTCAGTCGTATCCAACCCTTGGCGATTGCATGGACCGTCACGCATAAGCGACTTTTTCCATGAATTCTCTTAGCAATTATTTTTACCTTTCCCCAACCCCTACCATGCAGTAGATCCCGCATGGCCAGGGATGCCTAGTAAATTTAGTTTTCTGTAAATAAATAAAAAGGCCCACCCCGGTGATCTTTGATCTCCTCCATGTTGTTCCGTTAGATCTCCACCTCTTAAAGGTTGCCTACCTCTGATATAAAGGGTAAAGCACCCATTGATTATTATTATTATACAGGATTTATATAGCGCCAACAGTTTGCTCAGCGCTTTACAATATAATAAACATTATAAAAATTTTAGGTGCCAGCAATCAGAACTCAGCACAAAGCCATAGACATACAGTGCCTTGAATTCATACCCCTTGAAATTTTTCCACATTTTGTCATGTTACAACCAAAAACTTAAATTTATTTTATTGGGATTTTATGTGATAAAGCAAAACAAAGTGGCACATAATTGTAAAGTTGACGGAAAATGATGAATGGTTTTCAAAATTTTTTTTTACAAAGTGTGCATTTGTATTCAGCCCCCTTGAGTCAATACTTTGTACAACCAACTGCAATTGGACGTCTTTTTGGATGTCTCCACCAATCTAGAGAGTGAAATGTTTGCCCACTCTTTTTTGCAAAATAGCTCAAGCTCTGTCAGAATGGATTATTGAACAGCAATGTTCAAGTTTTCAGATTCCCAATTGGATTTAGGTCTAGACTTGGACTGGACCATTCTAACACATGAATATGCTTGCAGACTCCTAACAAATTTTCTTCTAAGATTGCCCTGTGTCTGGCTTCATCCATCTTCCCATCACCTCTGACCAGCTTCCCTGTCCCTGCTGAAGAAAAGCATCCCCACAACATGATGCTGTCAACACCTTGTTTCATGGTGGGGATGGTGTGTTCAGAAGTTATGTGCAGTGTTTGTTTTCCGCCACACATAGCGTTTTTGCTTTTAGAGCAAAAAGTTAAATTTTGGTCTCATCTGACCAGATCACCTTCTTTTAGTATGTTTGCTGTGTCCCCCACATGGCTTCCCCCTCAAACTGCAAATGGGACTTCTTATGGCTTTCTTTCAAGAATGGTTTCTTCTTGCCAATCTTCCATGAAGGCCAGATTTGTGGAGTGCACGACTAATAGTTGACCTGTGGACAGATTCTCCCACCTGAGCTGTGGATCTCTGCAGCTCCTCCAGAGTTACCATGAGCCTCTTGGCTGCTTCTCTAATTAATGTTGTCCTTGCTGGCCTGTCAGTTTTGGTGGATGGCCATTTCTTGGTAGGTTTTCAGTTGTGCCATACTCTTTCCATTTTCTGATGATGGATTGAACACTGCTCCATGAGATGTTCAAAGCTTGCAAGATTTTTTTTTTTTATAACCTAACCCTGCTTTAAACTTCTCCACAATTTTATCCCTGACCTGTCCGGTGTGTTCTTTGGCCTTCATGATGCTGTTTGTTCACTAATCTTCTCTAACAAACCTCTGAGGGCTTCACAGAACAGCTGTATTTATACTGAGATTAAATTACACATAGGTGGACTCTATTTACTAATTAGGTGACTTCTAAAGGAAATTAGTTCCACTAGATTTTAGTTAGGGGTATCAGAGTAAAGGGGGCTGAATACAAATGCATGCCACACTTTTCAGATATTTATTTGTAAAAAAAAATTTTGAAAACCATTTATCATTTTTCTTTCACTTCACAATTATGTGCCACTTTGTGTTGGTCTATCACAAAAAATCCCAATAAAATACATTTACGTTTTTGGTTGTAACATGACAAAATGTGGAAAATTTCAGGGGGTATGAATAATGTTTCAAGGCACTGTAATATCATTAAAGCTGTGTAGCATAGTGTCTTTCATTTTGTAGGGGGGAAACCAGAACTCGCATTTGGGGAGGATCTGCAAAAGCTGTGCTGAGCTGTTTTTTTCTCATTACTGCACTGTGTCCCTATTTTATGCATTGTGTCTCTGTGTAAACAAAGATCACAAGACAAAATATATTTTTTTGGGTACTACTTAGACATTAAAGCCTACCTATGAGCAAAACCTAACCACCTCTCACCCCTCTTGTAGGTTTTGTTAAATCAAAATGTTACTTAAGTCCAGGTTCCTTATTGCCAAAAATTTGGCATACAGGGTGATGGTATTCCAGCACTGTAAATATACCCCCAGCGGTCCTCTATCACTGGCATCCCTGCTAAAATTCTCATCTGGGTTCTCAGAGTTCTGGGTCTCCCTCACTGGTCAGCCATTATGAAGTACCCACATCATTCAGGCAGCGATGTGGGCATCTGAAGAAGGACATTGCCTCCTTATACATAGAAGATAATACAGGGAAATAGAGCATCATGTGAGCATTGATTTAGAAAAGGGCTTTTAGGTAGTTGTGTTTTTTGTTTTTTTTTTCCTTAGGCAGGTGGTGTATGTATGGTGGACAGCAGGTATGAGAGGGGCTTTGAAATTTCTAGATCTTGCTTATAACTGCAGAATCTTCACGTTTTAAAGCTGGCCACAGATGGAAAATCGTTAGAAAATGAATTCGCATTTGATAAAGATCTGTTTAATGAGCAGGAAATTACGTCATCTTTGTGTTATTCCTGATCGATTCTACAACTCACACTTCGAAAATTGTTCACTGGCACTAAAGAACTCCATAGGCCGGTTCTTTTTTTTTTTGCCATAAATGTTTGCATTTCGAGAACCAAATTAGCCTACTAACATTTAGAAAGTTGAATGATCAGCGTTTCAAACAATTTTCTATCCATCTATGACCAGCTTAAGTATAGGTCCAGTCAAAGTGATTCTAAAGGCATCATTTTATTATTTTTTTTTAAATAACAAAAATGCCTATACTTACCTGTTGTGTGCAGTGGTTTTGCACAGAACAGCCCGCTTCCTCCTCTTCTTAGGTCCCCCGCAAGCTCTCCTGGCTCCTCCCTCCTGTCGGGTGCCCCCACAGCAAGTAGCTTGCTATGGGAGCACCTGCTGCTCCATGTGTCCATTCACACATTAAGCTGCTGCTCAGCCCCGCTCAACTTTCTTCTCATTGGCTCACTGGCTGTGATTGACAGCAGCGGGAGCCATTCCAATTCGAAGAGGGAGTTCTAGGATGGCCGAGACTCCAGTGCACATCGCTGGATTGAGAGGGGGTGCGTTTTAGGCGGGGCTGGGGAGGATACTGGACATAGAAGGTTTTTTTACCTTCATGTATTGAATGCATGAAGGTAAAAAAACTTCTACCTTTACAACCACTTTAAAGGGGTCACATACTTGAAATCACAGTCATTGGATCCAGCTGTTTTTGGTTGGTGTGGGTAATAAAACTATGTTTGTGGATCCATCAGACGTCTGCAGAACAACCGCTTGTACTTGTAAGGATTGTGTGCTATTAATCCTTCATTCTTCAATATAAGCATAATCATGATGGTAAGTTGGGTTTTATCTGTATTTTTTTTTTTTAAACTTAAACTGTATTATAAAACCATTTTTAACTTCAGAATGTGCTTTTTATAGATATTATTTCCAAGAAGTGTCATCTCTATGGAAATTATGTAATGAACTCATAGCAGTGGATCCTTCATGTCACTCCCCAACCAATTTTACAACTGCACATAGATGGCAGAGATGAGTGTGTATATGTTAAAGGTGCCCTGATGATTATGTCATTAGGCAGACTTAGGAAATGCTGAGTTACAGATTGTACAACATATTATTTATCACACACTTGTTTCAGGTATCTCCAGAAGAGGCTCAGCAGCATTGGGAACGTCAATATATATTCTCTTTGAGCAACTGCAGTCACACAGTGTGGTGAGACATCCTGATGTCTTTTTAACTCCTTACCTTGTTTAATCTCATATCAAATTGTAAACATTTTTTTTTAAAGCTACTGTGTCATTAAATTGAAACTTTAAAATGGAGTTCCAGTGATTTTTGTGTTTATTAAAAGTCAGCAGCTACAAAAACTCTATCTGCTGACTTTTATAAAACACACCATCACCTGTCCCAGGGTCCAGCTATGTGCTCACCTGCGCCGTCCCTTCTTCTCCCCCCTGCACTGGCATCTCAACTGTGGGCACAAGGCTGTGACAGCTTTGCGGCTTTACAGCCGGGTGCCCACTGCGCATGCACAAGTTGCGCTGTGCTTCCTGATTGGTCCAGCAGTCTTCTGGGACCTGTGACGTCCTAGAAGACTGCGGGAGGAAGGAGTGGGCCGAACGTCCGGCTCACTTCTCTGCGGCAAACTGAGCCGTAAGTGGGAGCAGGTACCTGTCAAAACCAGGTATCCGCTCCCCCACCCCCCCCAAAAAAGTGCCAAATATGGCAGTGGAGGGGGGAGGAGACAAACAAGCGGAGCTTCCACTCCCTTTTCTCCCCCCTGCACTGGCATCTCAGCTGTGGGCACCAGGTTGTAACAGCTTTGTGGCTTTACAGCCGGGTGCCCACTACACATGCACGACTCGCACTGCGCATCCTGATTGGTCCGGCAGTCTTCTAGGACCTGTGAAGTCCCAGAAGACTGCGGGAAGAAGGAGGGGCCGAACTTCGGCTCACTTCTCTGCAGCAAACTGAGCCGCAAGTGGGAACAGGTCAAAACCAGGTATCCGCTCCCCCCCAAAAAGTGCCAAATATGGCAGTGGACGGGAGAGGAGGCAAACAAGCGGAGCTTCCACTCCGCTTTAATCAAAAGTGTGGTGGCTCTTGATGCATTGACTCCAGCCTCATTCTACTCTTTGTGAAAGTCTCCAATCTTTGAATGGCCTTTTCCTGACAATCCTCTCCAGGCTGCGGTCATCCCTGCTGCTTGTGCACCTTTTTCTTCTACACTTTTCCCTTCCACATAACTTTCTATTAATGTGCTTTGATACAGCCGTTTGGGAACATCCAACTTTCTTTTGCAATTACCTTTTGAGGCTTTCCCTCCTTATGGAGGGTGTCAATGATGGTTTTCTGCACAACTGTCAGGTCAGCAGTCTTTCCCATGATTGTGATTCCTACTGAACCAGACTGAGAGACTATTTAAAGACTCAGGAACGCTTTGCAGGTGTTATGGCTTAATTATCTGATTAGAGTGGGACACTTTGAGCCTAGAATATTGCACCTTTTCACAATATTCTAATTTTCTGAGATTGTGGATTTGGAGTTTTCATGAGCTGTAAGCCATAATCATCACAATTATGACAAATCACAGCTTGAACTATCTTGCTTTGCATGTAATGAGTCTATCTCTTATATTAGTTTCACCTTTTTAGTTGCATTGCTGAAATAAATGAACTTTTGCACGATATTTTAATTTTTAAAGTTTCACCTGTATAATCCCCATCTTTTTCAACACATCAGTTTATTACTAGTCTTTGCTTTCAGTGATTACTACTACCAATTTACGGCCCTGACCTTTGGCCTATTATCTACACATTAGGTATCCACCAAGGTGATGCCCTAGTACTAGCCCTACATTTTCATGGGATGCTTCGTTGACTTTCTGTCAAAGGAGCAGTTGGTTCTTACTCTTTCAGACAAAGTGACGTTGACCATCCAGATGTTATAGCAATTTTGTATGTTATAGACCTTCAGAAATTGATGTTTTGAAGTATCCGGGTATACTGGACCCAGCTCCTGGAATGTTCCTTCCACAAAACAAACTTCTGACACTCCAATTTGAGATTCAAACTTTCCAGTCCAGGAGTCATCCAACTTTTTTTTTTATTAGAGTCCAAGGTTTGATGGTAATCTCTGAGGCAGCCCCATTTGCCAAGTTTCAATCCAGACTGTCTACAATGCAACATTCTGTACAGGTCAGTCTGGTATCTGAATAAAACAGTTTGTCTATCACCAAGGACCAGGTTCTCCATGGCCTGGTAACTCAGGCATCCCATTCTGGAGCAAGGGAAGTCCTTCCTTCCCATTATTTGGAGGATTCTTATGATGAACAGCAGCTTGGGGAGAGGTTCTAGTCATGTGGTCTCTACAGCACTGTAAAACTTGCTGGTGGAGGGTCATCTGATCCAGATTGTCAGACACCATGAAACTTTGGAGAAGAACCAGAAGTCTCACTGTAGGAAAATGGGTGTAGATCGTATCCTGTCCTTGGCAGAACTTCACCTTTCAGTCTTGTCAGCTGTGAACATTCCAGGTGTGAACAATTGGAAGGCAGACTTTCTTTTTCGGCAGAGCCTGGACCCAGGGTAGTTGTTATACTCAGGAATGTTCCAGGACCTGTGTCACAGGTGGGGAGACACCAAATATGGACCACCTGGCCTCTAGGTACAACAGCATCAGACTGGAAAGGTTTTTCTTCAGATATAGGGGTCCTGTAGCAGTGGATGCCCTAGTGGCTCTATGGGAACTATGCACCCTGACCAATGCCTTCCTTCCCCTGAACTTCTTTCTTGTCTGCTTCACAGGATCAAGATGAAGGGCAACTTGGTGATCCTCATTGCTCCATAGCAGCCCAGGCGGATATGGTGCACGGACCTGGTCAGACTCCTGACTGATATTTTGTGGGCTCTGCCAGATCATCAGGATCCTTTGTTCAAAGGATCAATTGGCCATTCTACTTCAGGGCTGCTGGCTTGTTGTTGAAGTCCAGATTCTGAGGGATGGGCATCTCTGTGAGTCTGTGATTTCTATGATGCTGAAAGCTAGGAAGGCTTCTCACAAAGTCCATCATTGGAAATGGAAGGCATACTTCAGTTGGTGTGAGTCTTGGGGCTTTCACCCCAGGAGTTTCTCTGTGGGAAAAGTTTCCTCCATTGTCTGGATGTGGTTCACACTGTTGAGACACCCTCCCTCAGCGATTGCTTCTTTTTGGAAGACCAGTTCCCTTTTTTTGTAGTCCTGGAAGGACCCAGTAAGGAAGCACTAACTCCCTTGTTGCACCATCTTTAGATGATTTAGGCAGAACATCATCCAAGCTTAAGATCTAAGGGACAATTTTCAATCCTTCCTGTCAAAATGCACTTTACGGGATCCAGGAGTTCTTCTTGGGCTTTTCAGTATCAAGCAACTGTTTCCTGGATTTGCAAGACTACCCTTGGTCTCTTGTTAATACATTTTACATTTGTGTGTGGTAATTTATATACATCTATAAGCATGTTTACACAAGTATTAATGAGTATATTACAATACAACACTGGCAAAGAAGAAGAATTTTACTCCTCTATATGCTTATGCACTTTTATGCACCTATACTCAACATTATAAAATAAAAAATGTTGTAGCGCTGCTTATAAAATATTAAATAAACATCAATCCATCATAATTGAACAACCAAAGTGAATACAAAGTGCTCATAATAATATATTAATATAAATATCATCCATTACTACACAATAAAAGTGAACTGATATCAAAGTGCTGCAAAAAAATGTGTGTAAAGTTCATATGATTCCAAATGTAACATAATCCTACACCATAAAATGAGAATCCCCTGGTGAAGTCACGTGACGGTGAAGCAATGAGTCGGGCGTAAGTGGAGGCAGATAAAGGAAGTACAAGCCGCGATCTCTTATCTGTAAAGCAAATTTTGTTTATTTGAATGTAAGTGCAATTTTAATAAATATTGGAAATTTTTACTAATCTACTACACTATATGAGGCATATTCTCATTTGGGTGAGGCTACTGTTACTCAGTGAAACAGTGGATTCCTAAGGCTACCTTAACATCTACCATATGGGAGGAGGAGTGGATATCCCCTAGTGGTTAAAGGAGATAGTGATCAACTGTGGAGATGTCTCGTTAAACACGTAGTTTTACATACATAGTAGGTGAGAGTTCTGAGAGCACAGAAGTGGCACCAATTCATGGAATTCACATTAAACACGGATTCTCATTTTATGGTGTTCAGTTATGTTACCTTTGGAATCATATGAACGTTACACACATTTTTTTGGAACACTTTGATATCAGTTCACTTTGACTTTGTAGTAATGGATGATATTTATAATAATTTATTATTATTATGAGCACTTTGTATTCACTTTGGTTGTTCAATTATGATGGATTGATGTTTATTTAATATTTTGTAAACAGCTCTACATCATTTTTTATTTTATATAATTGCATTGTGGGAACACAGTTGATGATAGCAGCAGCATTCACAGTAGCAATCACTTTATATATCAATCAGTAGACACAGAAGTTCATTTCACTTATTTATACTCAACATTACTCAAGGTCTTTGAACAGATTTTTTTGCTCATTGACTTTCTGTTAAGCATTACCTGAGTTAACATCAATAAATTATGTTGTCCATGTGCAAGGGGCCAAAGACTTCCACTCCCTCAAAGTACGCCAAGAAATAATTTTATGGTGAATACAAAAATCCTATTTTCTCAAACTGTTATGAACCAACAGCGATGTGTCTTTATTATGATATATGCAGTTCTTAATTTCCAAAGTAGCCATATATGCATTTCTCCCCAAAGCCTCCACACTCATATAAATACAAGCACAGCCATATATACAGTCCTCCTTAACACCTGCATACACAGAGGATCAGTATATTGTATAAAGTTCCCACCTCGCCATCAGGCATTTATATAGTTCCCTTAAAATGGTTGTAAACCTCAGACATGAAATATGAAGAATGTATATCCATCTATAGTGTGTACTTGTCTCAATAGTACTAAGTGTCATTTCTGTCTGCTGATTCTTTCCTCTGCTATCAACATGAGTAACTTCTGACACGTTTTCTTGACACCAAGAGGAAAATGGTGATAGGGGAGGGACCTCCAGCAGATTGACAGACTTGGCTCTGTTCTTGTGAGTTGTTTGGAGGGGGTTGTGTATCTTCCTTCAATCATTTCTGAGAGCTCTCCTCACTGAGCCCTGCATGAGTGTAACTTCAGTTCTCTGCCCCCTGCAGGGCCAACATCCACCTAAGTCTATTTCAACCATTAGGAAAAAAATAAAAAAGTTATAATCCTATACCTCCAGAGGAAGGCAAAATAACCCAGCAAAGCATGATCCAATTTGCTCCTGAAAAAAATTTTTCCCGATCCCCCGAGAGTTCGGATATTCCCTGGATCAACTTTACCAGTTATATTCTGTGTCCAAGAAGAAAGAAAGAATTCAGGCCTTTTTTAAAGCAATCCACTGAGCTGGCCAGAACCAACTCTTGAGTGAGTCTGTTCCACATTTTCACATCTCTCACTGACCAGAAACCTTTCCGTGTTTGGAGATTAAATTTCCTCCAGATGTAAAGAAAAGCTTTGGACAATTGAATCAAAAGCACTTTCATGGCCAGGTGTGGGCTACTTCTTCATTATTTCTTCATCAATTAAGCAGGTGAAAGGTCTGGAGTTGATTCTAAGTGTGGTATTTGCATTTGAAATCTATTGCTGTGAACCTACATCATGCGTTTAAAGGAGCTGTCCATGCAAGTGAAACAGGCTATTGTAAGGCTTCAAAAACAAAACAAATCCACCAGAGACATAGCAGCAACATTAGGAGTGGCCAAATCAACAGTTTGGTACATTTTGAGGAAAGAAGAACGCACTGCTGAGCTCAGCAACATAAAAAGACATAGACGTCCACGGAAGACAAAAGTGGTAGATGATCGCAGGATCCTCTCTATGGTAAAGAAAAACCCATTCAGAACATCCAGACAAGTGAAGGAAACGCTCCTTGAGATGGGTGCATCATTGTCAAAGTCTACAGTCAAGAGAAGACTTCATGAGAACAAATACAGAGGGTTCACCACAAGGTGCAAACCATTCATAAGCCTGAAGAATAGAAAAGCCAGATTAGACTTTTCCAAAAACATCTAGAAAAGCCAGACCAGTTCTGGAAAAGCATTCTTTGGACGGATGAAACTAAGATTAATCTGTACCAGAATGTCGGGAAGAAAAAAGTGGAACAGCTCATGATCCAAAGTACAGAACGTCGTCTGTAAAACATGGTGGATGCAGTGTGATGGCATAGGCATGCATGGCTTCCAGTGGCACTGGGTCATTGGTGTTTATTGATGATGTAACAGAAGCAGCCGGATGAATTCTGCCGTGTTTACAGATATACTGTCAGCCCAGATTCAGCCAAATGCAGCAAATTTGATTGGACGGCACTTCACCGTACAGATGGACACTGATCAAAAACACACTGCAAAAGCAACCCAGGAGCTTTTGAAGGAAAAGAAGTGGAATATTCTGCAATGGCCGAGTCAATCACCTGGTCTCAACTCAATTGAGCATGCATTTCACTTGCTGAAGGCAAAACTAAAGGCAGAAAGACCCACAAAGAACAACTGAAGACAGCTGCAGTTAGAGCCTGGCAAAGCATTATAAAGGAGGAAACCCAGTTTTTGGTAATGTCCATGGGTTCCAGACATCAGGCAGTCATTGCCAGTAAAGTATTCTCAACAAAATAATAAAAATTAACATTTTTATTTATGATTATATTCAATTGTCCAATTACTTTTGGTCCTTTGAAAAAGGGGGGATGGCTACTCTTAAGAGCTGTAATTCCTATACCCTTCCTCCAGTTTGGATGTACATACCCTCAAATTAAACCTGAGAGTGTGCACTTTCCGCCCATATCCATTATATAACTATAGCTTGAATATGTTTTAGTAAATACCTGAAAAAAAAACTAAAATTGTGCCTGTGCCCAAATATATATGGACTTAACTGTATAGAGGTTTTTTGGCCAAAAGGTCAATAAAAACTGGTAGTGGTTCAACGGCAGATACACATATGATACGAAAGACTGAAGTTTCAACATATACCCTTGTGAATTATAAATACACCGATATATACAAGAGTGTCTTTATTGATAGTGGTGTGTTCTTCCAATAACTCCCAACATGTTTTGGAATGAAGTTCCTTTCTCAGGGGAACAGATAGGTATAGTAATGCTGTGATACAGCAGATAAGACATCAATAATATACAAAGTATTAAAAGGTTAGAGCCTACATAAATATATGTTCAAGAAGTGCAAAAGAACAGCAGATCCATGTTTGCATATGCTCCAATAATTGCAGATTTACAGTCACTATGTGTATCAGTACAGCCATGCCCAATACTGGTAAAAGCAATCCACAAAATGAGGGAAAAGCAGGGCCAACATTCCGCCTAAGATCACCAGGAGTTTGCTAGCGGTACCCCCACAGTCCGCCACAGTACTACAAGGATCCCAGAAAATCACCATAGGAATATCTGGCCAATCTGAATAAGGTATAAAGAAAGAAAGGGACTATAGTTGTCTAACCAAATCGCGATAAAGTGCCGTGCATAGCTGCAGGGCATTCAATGAGTAGAATCTAAATAAGACAAGCTATATGAATAACAACAACCAAAAATTTCTGGATGTTCAAGCCATATGACATGGATATATATAATGTCTTACCCGCTAGGTGTGGAGACGCAGTGGTAAGCATTGGCGAGTGTCCCGCAAAATGATCGAATACCTCAGAATTATGTGACATATATATATATATATATATATATATATATATATATATATATATATCAATCAATCTCAATCACCTATGTATGTATGTGTATGTATGAAAATTGGGGGGAATGCCCACCAAGATAGCCAATTTGGTCTCCGATTGGGAGACACATGCCTGCCACTCAAGGGCGGTAAAAAACAGCATGCATTGTGGGATCCTCCGGCATGGCGGCGTGCAGTGTCACCATGCCTCCAAAGTGCGTGATGACTTCACGTGTCACCACGACGCCAAAGCACGGCATGATTGCGGCAGGGGGACACAGGAGAATGTCACAAGGGCATGGTCAAGGCCCCGTAGTCGCAGTAAACAACAAAAAAAGTGGTCCTCAACACCACACAGATTGCAGCTAGGAGAGACCTGCTGTCATCACGCACTTTGGGGATGTGGTGATTCCATGCGCCGCCATGCCGGAGGATCCCACAATGCATGCCGTTTTTACCGCACTTGAGCGGCAGGCGTGTGTCTTCCAGTCAGGGACCACATTGGCCATCCTGTTGGGCATTCCCCCCAATTTTCATAGATAGAAAGAGAGAGATATATATCACCTAATCCTGAAGTATTCAGCCATTTTGTGGGACACTTGCCAATGCTTAGCACTACGTCTCCACACCTAGTGTGTAAGATTTAGTATATATCCATGTGATATGGCTTGAAAATCCAGAAACTTATTGTTGTTCATATAGAACTCTTATGACTATATGGCTTGTCCTATATAGATTCTACTCTTTGAATGCACTGCAGTTATGCACGGCACTTTATCGCAATTTGGTTAGACAACTATAGCCCTTTCTTTCTTTATAACTTATTCAGACTGGCCAGACATTCCTATGGTGATTTTCTGAGACCCTTGTAGTACTGTGGGGGTGCTGCTGGCGATCTTAGGCGGATGTTGGCCCTGCTTTTCCCTCTTTTTGTGGGTTGCTTTTACCAGTATTGGACATGGTTTTACTGATCCACATACTGATTGTAAGTCTACAATTATTGGAGCATATGCATACATGGATCTGCTGTTCTTTTGCATTTGTTGAACATATATTTATGTACGCTCTTACATTCTAATACTTTGTCCTTGTAAATTATTGATGTCTTATCTGTTGTATCACAGCATTACTATACCTATCTGTACCTTTGAGGAAGGAACTGCGATCTGAAACATGTTGGGAGTTATTGGAAGAACACACCACTATCAATCAAGACACTCTTGTATATCTGTGTATTTTAAACACTTTTGCTACTCTTTCTCTGCCGCTAAAGTCCCATGGGGATTTTTATGTACCTTCTAGATCTTTTGATGTCTGTTTGCTTCTTCTGTCTGTTAACAATATCAGTTGTGTCCCTTTCTTGCTCTTTATCTGTAGCTTTAGAGCTTTATTTCCACACCCTTTGCATTTTCTTCATTATTTAACTTTTCTAACTAGCCCTCTTCTCTGTTCCATGCAGGAATGGGAACTGCAAAATCGTGCAGCAGGGCAAAGAGTGTATACAAGGGCTTCGTCTGCGACATTATTACATGTTGTGTGGGTCTCTTCTGCGTGTCTGGAGTCGGATGGCATCTGTTATTTCTGATATCACCAGCAGTAGCTACTTACAGATTGTACGTTTAAAAACCAAGGATAAGCATAAACAAGTTGGTGAGTAGTTTTCATTGGCATTATTCCTTGTCCCAGAACAGATAATTGGTGAAATATATCCTGCATATAATATTGAGCAAGTGTTACTCTGCTTTTGTTATTCACCCAGGCATTCAGATTCCAGAGCCTTGTGTATATAAAGTACGAGAGGAACTGAAACAAATGGATATGAATGTGAAGAGAAAACATGAGGAATCTAAACAGGCTGCTGAGCGTCTCTCAATGCCCCCCATGCTCTCTGGACCCTCTCCTTTAGACCTTTCAATACCTTTTTTCCATCCACCCTCGCTTTCAGAACCTGATGTTTTAGACTTGACTTACAGCCCTCTACCTTCCAATATGCAGGAACAGAGTGGATATCATTTCAGTGACAGTCTTGGGAGCATCCTGTCCCCTAGCGAAACCCTCCATAGCCAGCAGTTTAATGTCAGAGAAATCATAGAAGAAATGCTTCAAAAACTAAAAGCGCCAGATCCGTCTTCTGCAGAGCGTCAAAGTGTCATTCAGTTTCGGAGGAGAGCAAAGCTTCTGGGGTACAGGCTGATGTGTCATTCTTTCTTTCTGATAGCAGACCAGCAAATATGCCCTGCAGCACTGCTTTAACACTCCAGTACTATTTGTGGCCGAAGCCAAGATTGCTGATTGCTTGGATTTTACCAACTGTGTTAATCAAACTATTTTGCGCTATACCACAATAAGGAGAGGTGACATCTGAATTTTCAGAGACCAAAACTAGCAGTGCACCATCCATCATATCAGAGGACCAAGTGTCACAGGGTTGCTTGTCTCTGACAGCCCCCATCTACAGTACTTACTAACACATCCATTGCGCAGCTGCACTGATTGGCTGACATATCAGGTGCTGTACCCTACAGCCTATACGATTTGTTTGGGACCCATCTGCAGAAAACACACTGGGAACCCTGCACTGTTTGTTTCTGTTCTCAGTCCCTGGTCAACCTAAAGTAGGTTTGGATTTCTGTTCAGTGTAAGTAGGTTCTTCTGTGTTCATGAGCTGACTCCTTACAGCGCTCAGCACTTTATCATCTTCTCTTCAGAGCTTTACACACTGCTGGCTGAAAGAGCCTTGAGCAATAGCATGTGTGAACAGTATAAAATATATAAATATATATATATATATATATATTATCTATATGTATATGGGGAAGGGATGGGAGTACCAGATTTGTTTTAGTTCTTTTAACCCATGCTAATCTTTGCACTATTGCTGCCCCATAACAACCTCCCTTTGGGTAGAAGGGGCCTGGGTGTCTGCTCAGGGTATATTTATGTGTATATTTGTTTATATCCATAACGTTATATCTCAGGCTAGGTACTGTTTGCCATGCAGAGGCAGACACTGTTTGTTTTATGCCAAAGAAGTTCCTCCTTTTTGCATATACTTCATTTTGCCCATGTGGAAAATGTAGTTTCCCATCTCCTCGTGCACGTACATTTACACTTTTTGAAAAAAGAAAAGTTGAGTTCTGAATCAGTAGGCTCTCTTTGTCTGTCATAAGCATAATGTACAGATAGACAGCTGCAGGGCTGCTAGTCATTAGCTGCAGTACCACTATTTAGACTAATACTAACTGACATTGTGCATAAGAAAACCAATAGGAAGCAGCTGGTTTCATTACAAAACAGCATCTACGTTACCTCTGCTACACCTAGCAGACTTCACTTCCTTTTTTTTCTTGGTCACCTGAATTCTGTGCTTTATTGATCTGGTAGAGGCTTACCACGAAACCCAGTTATAATAGCCGGGGAATCTCGCTGTCTGCTTTTAAGTGCAATGTATGTGTTTTTTTTTTTTTTTTTCTTTGAGCCTTACACACCAATATTACATTGTTAGTACTTGTTTAAGATATTATGTTTTGTATTGGTGGCAGATGTGCAAATCTTGAATGTTAAGGTAAACCTTTGGGTTGCGGGACCGTTAATATGAACTTCTCACAGTGCCAGTCCATTCAGCAATGGTCATCCTTTCATCCAGGCCATATCGGAATGCCGGCAATCAAAGGATCTCCAAGTTGGCTATTTACTTTGAGTTCACTTTTCTGTATCGTTTGTTTTGCAATGTAAATTATTTCAAATACTGTACCCGGTGTTACATGTGCATATTACCACATTGGTATTTGTGACTGACTAAGGGTCATTTATGAAAGTGCAAAGAACTGTTTATGTGCCTCTGCACTTTTTTGTGTAACAGTGAGTATACACAGTCAAATGATCATCTTGGAGGGTGCCAAGTAGTTGTCCTCTATGGACACATTGGGTTGTTTTTTTTGTTGAGTATTGTGTATCGTTACACTAAAGTGTAAGAAGTCTTTTAGGGCCCGTTCACACCATGTGTTGGACTGTACTTGCCTAATGCATAGACATGGCATTTTGCCTTTAACTCCTGTGAGTTCACTTTGCACCCCCACTCTGTGGTGGCGTACACTGAAAAATGTAGGACATGCAGTAGTTTTTTTTGAGCTTTGCTGAATGAAGATGATTGGAATGTCACAAAAAAAGGTATACTGTGTGGTGTGCTGCAGTTGGTGCATTGCCCTGTACAGCGCACACCTGCAGCCGCGCATTGTAGCACACTGCTGGTCTGATCGAGCCTTTAAATGCCTACCACAGCATCAGTCAGCAACACAAGGAGCCTGTCATTATCTGTATTAAAAATAAGACATTACTCTTGTGCCAGAGAGCCCCTGAAGTAGGGCAGATACATCCGGAATCCAGTCCACCCAGCCACTGTATTTTACAACCCTATGAGGAAGCCCCTGCAGGCAATAGAGGGCTTTAGCATTGGGTTGTGGGATAATAGAGAAGGATTTGCACAGACCTTTAAGTCCTAGGGGATTCCCAGAATTTGTTTTTGGTTTGGTGCGCTCTTTGGGAGCAATATACAGGTTATGCCAATTACCTTGTACTTAATGTTATCACCTCCAAAGGAGGGGACTGTGGGAGAGCGGTCACACAGGTGGAGGGAGCCTCCCGGAGCAAGGAATTAGGTAAATATTACGTATTGTTCCTACCTTAGACTTCATGAGCATTTTAAACCTTGCAATGTGGGGAGGCGGCACAGGAAGGGTATTTTTTTCCTGTGCCCTGAGTTAGCTTTAAATGACCTTCAGCTAAATTTCAAACTAGGCTAAATTAATATTTTTAAACCACTCTAACTTTTTGTCTGCTGGTTAAAATATATAACGTTTTATTTATTATCTTATTTAAATATTTTCAGCATTTCTGCTTTATTTTTATATCATTTTAATATTGTATGGTTAGGATTATATAAACTTTTTTTTTACCTAAAGTAAAACCTTTGGAGAAGATTTTAAAAATGATTTATTCTGTGACCTTTTTTTGTTAGTGCACCTAAAAATATTTTATAATGTCCCTGTTTTTTCTGTTTGCTTTCATACACCCCAAATTACTCACAAAGAAAGTAGGAAAATAGAGTATAACTGGGTATGTTTTTTGTTTTTTTTGTAAATATGATAGTTTTTATTAGTGTGACTGAGTAGCTTAGGATAGTCCTCTGAATACCCTTTCCTTTTCACAGGAATGTGGAATTAGGGGCCAAAATAGAACAAATTCTGGTTGTTTTAATGTGAAATATATAGCATGGTTCTATAAGGGAATTTAATAAAAAATCTGGCTTTGCAGTCATGCATTTCCATTTCTAAGGCAATGCAGTTTTTTTTTTTATTCCAAGATGCACTTGAGAGCATCCTTCCTTTAAGAGGCCAGTGTAAAAACGGGCTAGTGAATAGGTATTTATGGAGAATGCACACTAATCTTAAAATTCAATGCACTTCCAGCAGATTCTTTGTGGTTTCATAAAATGACCCTTAACTTGTGTTTAGTGATTTGTTTTGTTGCATTGCTATGCCTAAATGGCAGATGAGCAGTTTTTCCATAAACACTGGCTTGCTTAAAAAACAGTATAAGGAGCTTTGATATGCAGTAACCCTCAGCAACCCATCATTCTTTAGTTGGTACAGCGAGAATGAAAGCTGTTTGCTGGCTGGTGAAGGTTACAGTGCATAACTGCTTTTTTTTTACTATGCAAAGCCCATAATGTAACTTCTTCCTCTGCCAGCTGGTCTCCGGTAGTGTTCCCAGTGATGCAGTCAACCAAAGATTTCTAAAATGTGACAGGGTAGATAATTATCCATATGTATGTGCCTGATGGCAAACTAATGCTCATCTTTAATGACTGCCATTATGGCCTACACTTTGGCGCAATACCATATCGTGAACACCACTATGGCAAATCATTTTATGCAATGTCATTCAGTGCCTTGCTTTTCCTATGTATTGAGACTATTATTAGCTAGTGTGCACCACTGCTGGATGGCGCTCCTCCCATGTCATGTGTTTCTGTGACCTTTCAATTTCGTACTGTATCTCAGGTATTTTACCCCCTTAAACTGTCAGGGAATTCTGCAACATATTTCGCTGGAAACAAGTGCATGTGATCTGGCATCAAAGGGGTCAAGAGGAGCTGCTGCCCCCTCTGTTCTGTAAGTTTATTCATATGTGTACCCAGTGAGATCACCTCCCTGTTTTGTGATTTCTTGGACAGGTTTGCTATTAAGTTATTATGATGCGTGCGTGCTACTGATTCTGCATCCTGCCACGCACGGGTCTCCTATACTTATTTATGACTCTGTAAAATATATATGTATACAGTTTTATTTAGAAGATGTGCCTTCAACTAATTCCTACATTTTCTATTCATAACTGAAGGCTGAATTCGCAGCACCTCAGTAAAGTTTTCATTGAAAAAAAAAGCATGTTTCTGGGTCTTTGATCTGAAAGTGTATTGTGTCTGAATACCATGTACAACACACCAATTTTTTTTTTTCTTGTATGTCCCGATTTGTATACCTTTATTTTCAATTTATGTATTATAGGTACTTCTATAGCGCCGTCAATTTACACAGCGATATATATATGTGTGTGTGTGTGTGTATATATATATATAGAGAGAGAGAGAGAGAGAGAGAGTGTTGAAAAACTATTCATACCCCTTTCAATTTTCCACATTTTGTCACGTTACAATCAAAACCGTAAATGTATTTTATTGGAATTTTATGTGATAGACCAACACAAAGTGGCACATAATTGTGAAGTGGTAGGAAAATGATAAATGGTATTCAAAATTTTTTACTGATAAATATGTGAAAAAGTGTGGTGTGCATTTGTATTCAGCCCCCCTGAGTCAATACTATGTAGAACCACCTTTCACTTCAATTACAGCTGCAAGTCTTTTTGGGAATGTCTCTACCAGCTTTGCACATCTAGAGAGTGACATTTTTGCCCATTCTTCTTTGCAAAAATAGCTCTCTCAGATTGGATGGAGAGTGTCTGTGAACAATGACCCTAAACATACAGCCAGAGTTACAATGGAATGGTTTAGATCAAAGCATATTTATGTGTTAGAATGGCCCAGTCAAAGTCCAGACCTAAATCCACTTGAGAATCTGTGGCAAGACTTGAAAATTGCTGTTCACAGATGCTCTTCATCAATCTGAGAGAGC